ATGATGTATGTGGAATGTTTCCACGTAGGTTTTTGGGTGTCCACAATGCGATTTCGAAATTTTAAATTGTTCGAACCCTCCGTGGGAATTTGCGGAGTTGGCCCTTCGGTGTGTAACCTATTTGTCCCTCATTTGTTGATTTAACCATGCAGTGTCTGCATTTTTAGTCCCCAATTTTTGTCAACGTTTTGATGCCGTGAATGTGCTGTGGTGTACTGGGTGTTAATTTCCTAGTTGTTAGCATAAACTTTTACCCCATGCTGACCTCTCGGTGGACTATGTGTAATGAGGCGTCTCAGTAATCATTATATTGGCTGGTTTAGTGCCCCAATGTTTTTGAGAGTAAGACAGAGAGAGAGAGAGAGAGAGATGGAGAAGAATTGAATTAGTTTACCAACACAATATCTCTGGGAGATTGGTTGCTTGTTGTGACCTAATATATACCGTCATTTCCCGATGTTTGTGACTGGAGCGCTACCGGGTTTTAACCCTGTTTAGCTTGCCAGAGCACCCTTCCCATGACGGGCCTTTTGACCCATTAGCAGTATACAGTGAAGTCACGGTGGGGAATTAAGCTGTCAGAAATTGTATTTTAAGGCATCTGCTGACGGTATACATCGTCTCCGAGGTTTCGCCTGCCTAGAGAGGCATGCAGTGTGTAAGTGTGCAGAAGCTTTGAAGTGTGGCATTTGATGGTCATCTGGTGAGGTAAATTGAGGGGCTCACCACTCTCAGTGCTGCCGGTTGGTCTAGTTCCAGATGTGCCACATGTATACTTCTTGGCGTTCTCTCGTAAGCCTTGCTCGTGTCCATGTTTGTTTTGTATCTGGGGATCTACAAGACTATGACATGTCTTGTACCACCCGAGTGATTGAATGTAGTCTGTGCATCTCTCGGTGTGTGTGTGTCCTGTATAATTCAATGCCCCCCCAGGCTATTGCACTCTTGCTACTTCTTGTACAATTGCATGCGCTGTCTGCCAATGGACCGGCTATTGTACTTTGTAGCGGCTGCATTTTCGTGGCTGTGTCCTCCCGAGGTCCAGACGGTTCAACATCTGGGTAGGCGAGGAAGGTGAGGGATTTGCTTACAACCAAAGGCGTGTTCGGTTGCGACTCCGTTTCCAACGACAACACACAACAGCCTCGTCTCGATAGCCTCTCGGTAGCATCAGTGTCGGGTTGATACGACGCACACACCAAACGTTTTTTTGTGATACGTACGTGTATGATAAGTATAATACGGACGTGTGTGTGTGTGTGATCTGTCGACAGCTGTGAGGGCATCGGAGGCGTTGTTTAAAAGTAATTACTGCTCGGACGGAGGTGTAAGACTAGCTGAAGTCGAGACGGGGATTACGTGGTGGGGTGCAGCTGCTGCCATCCTGGCTCCGGTTCCCACGCCGCATGTTCCGCATACCTTCACTCCTTGTATAGCAATCAGAGTGTCCCCTTTGTTTTGTGACTGCACGCTTCGACTTGCGCTCGCATTTCTAGAAATCACATCAATAATGTCCCGATGTTTTTCTATTTGTTTGCATCTGTATGTGTTTGTATACCATTACCTTTCTATCACAGTATGTGCTGCTGTATATTGTGTGTGTACCTTATGCTTCAGTGCTGCCATCAAGAGCCAGATGGCAGCTCAGGGCAAACTCGAAAGGGAGGAGGCCTAGGCATGTGTGTAACAGAGCAAGTGGTTTACAATGCAGTGAGTAAGATGGTTTGGTGGGATTCGCAGTCATTTTGGTTTGCCAGATTGGAAATAGTTTTAAAACACACTGCTTGTGTGTGTGTGTGTGTGTGTGTGTGTGTGTGTGTGTGTGGTTCCCCATAATCAGGATGTGCCCTGTTTATCTGTTTGTCTGTTTTTGCGTCTGCACGAGGGAGATGTCTCCAAATACGGCAAGTTCGCGAACCCTCCATTGTGGTCCAAAATCTCTATGGCACGTACAGTCTTTGTTTGGGTCAAGCCCTTTGGACTGTCTTAAATCAACGTTTTTAATTTTTTAATTTGGCTCCCCTGGGTCAATTCCGTGCTGCCAGCTAAGCCGGTAGAAATTTGATTTCCTGTTTATTGGTTTGGTACCTTGTGTTCCGATGTGTAGGTACTGCAAATGGAGAGAAATTATTCCATCAGTGGATAATTAGAATCCGTCACTTTCCTATCTCGCCCGGTGGACACCCTGTTTACAAACCATGCGGTATCTAATTAGTCAAAGGTTAATTGGAAAAGTTGCTCAGTGTAGACATGTGGTGGGTAAAGAAAAATTCGTTCCTCTAGCAACCCACCATTCAGTAACAGCTGGCCTACACAAGGCTTATTATACAACTACCAGTTTATAATTCCGGAATGCTCAATGCCCTGTGCTGTATAATATGAGGACAGCAGTGAGTAATGCTGTAGGAGAAGAGGGAAATCTGCCTGTGCTGTATAATTATACTGCAGTGATGTGTTATACATGTGCGTTGCTGCACACTCAGAATGTAGTACCTACAAATACACACGTTCAGCTATATACAAATGCTTAGTTGATTGTTCCTAATATTCGATTTAGGCCCGGCTAATACCCCAATGGTGAGAGAGTGTATAATTATACTGTCTGCTGTGGTTTGGAGGGTGTGTGGAAATGTGTGTGTGTTAGGACTTATAGGAAATCTGGCCGACTTGGTAGTCCTTAGTCGTTTGGTCCTGGTTATAGTAACCCCTGTTACTGGTCTCTCAGGCACTGCCCTCTGGCAGTTGTGTGGGCCAGCTGCTTGCACGAGAGAGATCAGACCTGCATATATAGACTATCACGTGTGTGTGCAATCCTGACGTATTCAGTACCGTTGCAAGCTCCCTGGCCACTAGTGTCTTTTTCAGCACTTAAACGTCCTCGCGAGTGTTGGAGTGTTGCACGGACGGAGCGCAACCGAATGCATCCATATGCGTCCGTTAGATCTAGACAAAATGTGTAGGTGTCGTTTTTTGATTCAACAAGCTGATAACAAGAGCACATACGTCCGGAACCTCCGGTAATCGCATTCCGTCGGCCTGTCACTTGACTGGGCTGAAAGACTTTGGAGAAGGGTTTTGGAGGCGGCTCGATAAATATTTACTCTTTTGATGGCCCACTCAACTTTAGTCCAGCATATTGAGTTCATTTCAGGCTTCTTACTTGACAGTCAATACACACACTCACACACTCACACATTGAACATTAGTCAAAGTATTATATCTATGGACACATATACATACACACAAGTAATAGTTGTACCGTTACTGCCGGCAGTGTTACGTATCATGTTATTTCTTGTTTCGCCACACTGCTGCTTGCCCTCTCTTTGTGTCGCACATTTTTCAATAACCTGTCATCCTGTGGTGTCTGGTTGGCCTGAGGCAAGTATTTCATTGTCTGCCGACCTTTGGCACACGATGGTCGAGCGAATAAATCATTTTTTCAGAGCCGGTCTTTCTTAAGTACGTTTGGCGACATCACTGACTAACTGTGCTACTATAGGGGAAAGGCATTGTGTGTGAGTCCATGATTCCAGTGGATTAGGAGGTTATGTCTAACTCTTAACTATGTTAGGTGAACCCAAAGAGACCACCTATAGACCGTCATACGTACTAGCTCATTAGAAAGTGACGCTTCTTCCCCAGGCCTCTAGCTAAGAGAGAGTAGCTTGCTCTACTGCATAAAGACCAGGAAATGATGGCGCCTATTATAGCTAATGTGCAGCGTAGCTCCAATGCAGTAGGAGTCCTCATATGCAACTAGCCTATAGCATTAGAAGTTCTCATGCACAGTAGCCTATAGCATTAGGCGACCTGAAGGTGACACCTCTCCGTTCCCAACCCTCTATCTACACGTACGACCCTCAACAGAAGCTCAGTCAAACAATGCGCTGGTAATTCCAGTGGCCAAGGCTCTATTCTGCGTCCATCCTGTCGCCTAACTCACCCCTCTTCAGTCTCCAGTTAGTAGCAGCTGTTGTTGCCTGCCCTGACAGTCCCCGTGATAGTCTGCACCACACTCTAGGGATTCCGATCTGCTCTATATCTATTATATATACCACTCAAAGAGTTCCTATAGTAATGCTTCCAAGGATTCCAGTGTCACTGCGTAGAGCTTCTTCCCCTGGACTTGTGTAATGTGGTTAGCAGGTCAGCCGGCTCTGTGTGGTTACTTCCTTATTAATGCTTTTCCTAGTAGTTCAATTGAGGAGGACCCCCGCTGCTGCCCGGAGGAGGGGGTGCACAGGGTTTTCCTGGTCTTTCGTGGGAGAAAAGTTTAAACATTTGCGCGAAGACCTCACACAGAATAAACATCAAACTGCATATATAAAAAGCACTGCAAAGATATTATTTATTTCCAGGACGGCTCCTATACGTAGTTTCGCAAGTAGTGGCATATTTTAGCAGAAAATTTGCGAATGGGTGAAAAGTGTGTTGGGAGACCTTTTGCAGAATGCAAAATAGCAATTCTCTCGCTTCAAAAGCAAATCTCCCTTTAAAAGTCACAAATGCATTTGTGGTATGGGACGTATGTTGACAGTTATGTACACTTTAATGCAATATTAATTGCCCCAGATATTCGACAAAGCGAAAGTATTAGGTGCGCCTGTATTTGAAAGCGTTACGCTTTATTCGTGTTTACCGACCACCGTCTTTGTCCGGCAATACCTCTACACATCGTGTTTGTCAAACATGAATTTTTCGCCACAAGGCCCGCAATTTATACCACTTGGCTCATGGCTTCTTCCTCTCACTCTCATGTCGTTAGCGTAATACGCACTCTTGAAAGCATTGTTGGCAAAATGTTTTTCCCGACCACTCAACATGTTGTTGTAACCGAACACTTATTTGCATGCAGTCCACCGAGCGTGTTTCTGCAACCCGACACACGATTCCTTGTTCTTCCTTCTCGTTTCTCTTTGAATGAGAATCTGAAGAATGTTGCAAGATTTCCTTATCTAACACACTTTTTTGTCTTCCTCATTCCTCTCCCCCTCTTTCCTCTCCCTCTTCTCCTACTTCTCTTTTCCCTCCTTCGCTCACAGAAGCCTGAATGCAGAAGCTGCCACGATGCCTTCGCTGGGAAACCAGTACTTTGCCCTCGGAGGAAGTCTCCCAGAGCTCTCCCTCACCTCCCTCACTCGTCTTCTTCCCAACTCCAATGCCGACATGTCAAATGCATCACAACCCAGTCTATTCACGCTCGTGCACCACCCGACACCGCTCTACGTCTACTCCAGCCAACAGCACCTGGCGACTCCGTTTATTAACCCCCACGGTTCCATCACGTTTGGCAGTTTCCTCTCGACGGGATCGAGTCTGTGTAACCTGACAAAGAGAAGCTCACAGGAAAAGGAGACCGCGACAGAGGGAGAGGAGGACGAGGACTCGGCGGTAAAGAAGGAGGAAAAGAGCGGGACGATGGAGGGAGGGCTCCGCCTAGTAACGACTGGCAGAGACGGCGTGTCAGGGTCCAACGCAGCCACACCCGAATTAAAAATGGCCACCACTTACTCCCCGATTACTGCTCATATGATTCAACCAGCTCCGCACGGCACTCTAAATAGAGCCGTCCCGCTAATGACTCTACCGACATTTGGTACGCTCACGAGAAACGTGGGGACGCTGGGAGCGCAGGCAGAAACGGCTGTCTCCTCCCCTCCCCACCCAAGAATCATCCCTCACCTCTCCCCCTACCCTTCCTCCGTCATCACTTCTTCACCCCCCGGCACCTCGCTGCATCTCACCTCCTCCCCGCACATCGTGACCGCGCCTCCCTCTCTGGACCATTCGACAAAAGCCTCCTCCCAACTCTCTCCCTCCATGACTTCTTCCGTGGCGGTGGGATGCTCGCCGATGAGCCCCATGCAGGCTCCTTCGTCCTCCTCCTCTATAGACAGTAAGATGACTATACTGAGAACTGTAGGTGTGCCCTCACCAACTGAGCTGTACTTGGGAAACCCCGGAGTGAATGGAATACACACAAAGATGGAAGGTGGAGGAGAGGCAGGCTCGCTCACGCCGACCTCCGCCGACGACCAGTTACTCGAGCAACAAGGGGTTAAACGGGAAAAGGACAAGCCGTACAGGTGTGACCACCCGGGATGCGAACGCTCGTTCTCCTTCCCCGCACACCTCCGTTCTCACATCCAACAGATCCACATCTCGTACCGGCCGTGCAAGTGCGAGTTTCCGGGCTGCGGGAAGAGATTCTACACTCCTCAACACCTAAACGTCCACCGCAGGGTCCACACGGGCGAACGGCCCTTCGTGTGCCCGTACACCGACTGCTGCAAAGCCTTCACGACCGCCGGGAACCTAAAGAACCATATACGGACACACACGGGCGAGCGGCCGTACGCCTGCAAGTTCGAAGGCTGCACGAAACGCTTCGCAGAGATGTCCAGCCTCAAGAAACACGAACTCACACACACGGGCGAGAAGCCGTATACGTGTAGGGTGTGCGGGAAGGCATTCTCGCAGGCTGGCAGTCGGAACACTCACGAGCGGAAGCACAACCGAAGCGAAGGCGAAGAGGTGGTCAACGAGGGAAAGGTGGGGCGCAGATACCGCATAAAGAGAATTGCAGCTGCCTCCAGCCCCAACTCCAATCACGATTAGTCTCGAAATTTGTGTTGTGTCGTGTCGTGTAATATATTTGTATGTGATGAGTTGCAATAATAGAGAAGCTAGGGAACTAGCTAGCATCGTAAACTAGCAGTTGAAGGTTTTGTGTGAAATATTGCTCGTTTGTCAGTCACGTCTTTTCCGTCTTTACTTTCATCTGCGGGTGTTAGACAATCTATTTTCTATATGTCACTACATACAATAGGCTCTCCTCCCATTTTTTTACTCTGTCGTGAAATAAACAATTCCATCCCCTCCGCTTTATTGAACAGTGTTTGTATTTTTTCTCTATTTGTTTGTCTTTTCGTCCATAGTCGCACATCTTTTATACATCTGTAATTGTGCATATTGTATATACATTTTCCGATTCTATTATTAAACTCATATATATATATGATGATCACCTTTAAAATTGTACATAATTGCAAGGTTTTATGATCTCAGTTATAGAACATTACATTGCAAACTCTGTACAAAGACATTGAAAAAAGAACTGAAGAAAGAAGAAAAATTTAGGGACCAAAGTCGCTATTTTTAGAGTCGATACTATTTATACCGTTAGGGATGACATCGTGATCAATTGGTCTTCTTTGTTGGTGAGGCAGGAGTTCCCATTGGTTGGTGTGAGTACATCAGCAGAGCCACTGTGAGTGTCCCGTTGACTGATGGACGGACAGAATCAATGACGGACGACCCACAAAGAGACACCATGTTGAAAATGGGGTTACATACGTAAACATGAATCAGCAAAATTTAATGGGAAAAGCTTATTCATGGGACAAAAGGTGAGATACAGTAGGAATAGGGACAGCGAGATAAGGAGAGATAGGGGCAGTAAAATAGGTGGGATAAAGATGTCCCTTACCCAGAGGGTCCTTTTCAGAGGTTTCACTGTAAACACAGGTATACGCTAATCGGACCACCACAGCAAATAAAAAATCTGTGAGACAGACTAACAGGTGTGCCTTGTGTTGCGTTGTAGATCTGAACTCCTACCAGCTGAGTTGCCCTGGTAGCTCAGTTGGTAGAGCGCTCGCCTAGACTGCAGAGTGCCGTGGGTTCGAATCCCACCCAGGGCAGCTATTCTTCTAAAGAATGGGTGTAGTTGATTCTGCCTTGCCTTGCCTTGCCTTTCTACCTCGTTACCAAGTCGTTGAAACATGCTAATGGCACCAACACACCAAAATCTGTGAGACAGACTAACAGAGTATGGTGATGAGGAGGAGGAAGATGAGATAGCCCCAGGAGAGGAACACGGTGATCAAGACACAAGGGAGTAGAACGAGGACAGTCATCCAGAGTATCAGGGTCAGTCTCAGAGACCACAGCACGTCTTCCGACATTGGCTTCTTGTACTCCTTCCCCGGGTATCTCCCGTTCTTCATACAGTAGTCGTAGGCTTCATCCTGAGCAGAGAGAGAGAGGGAGGTGTTCTGCTATCAACATGGAAACGCCAAAGTTGATGTCAATATATACTAGCTAGGGAAATGAGTGTCTAGCTCAGTGCATGCATATAGTACTTCCACAGTACACAGCCTCTGTGGGTAATCTTTCTTGGAAGAGACACAAATGTACTACAGTTATTGGAGGAGACCACCTTGTGCTGGTAGAGTTGGTAGCAGTAGTGCCCCAGTTCCTCCTGACTGTCTGGCACCTCTTCCATTGACATACGTCTAGTGAGTATTGAGTATCATAATATACAGTCAAGTCTCTGAATGAGGGAGTTGGACACAGTGTCCTTTATGCAGAGGTGTCCCCTTAATTTGACATAATATATACTTCAGAATAAGGGGGCACAATACTAATACAGTATGACACTATACTAATAGTATGGGACAAACATTATGTACATCTTACCAACAAAATTAGCACAAGTGAAAGAGTTTTGAACACAATGATCGACTATAATACACAGGCAACTACGCTGTACAGTACCGAACATATAGGAAGACGGTCATGGGTCTCCCAAAGAGAAGGTCAGCGAAGTTTGGTGTATGTGTGATACCGGGAAACGCAAACCCTATGTCGTAGAGAGCTTTGAAATTTCCTGCAACAAAAACCAGCACCACGCTCATTACATGTGCTCGCCTCGAAAGCAGAGTGTTGTGGGTTCGAATCCCACCCGGGGCAGCTCTGTCCTAGGTGTAGTTGACTTGTTTGCTTTGCCTTGCCTTTCTACCTCGCTACCAAGTTCTTGACACGTGCCTCAACTCACAAAACAACTCACAAAATTGTCAATAGTGAACTCAATAACTTCTAATGCGCACACACCTTTTGTCCTCAGGTAGTGGGCCAGCACAGAAAACCCCTTGGTCCTGGGCACCAGATGATGCTTTAAAACCGGCAGACCCTTTTCCTTGGCAAACTGTACCCCATCCAGGTACTTGGCCTGTGTGAATCTTGTACCTTCACAGAATATGCAGACCTAGCGGGGGGAAATGAAGGAGAGGTAAGAGAAGGGAGGGAGAGAGAAAGCTCATCACGAACTTGTTTAGCTTAAAATTCCATTTCACAAAGCTCTAAGGGCCGATCCATCGCAGACTCATTTTAATCAAATTAGGGGCATATTATTAGCTGTTACTTTAGTAGTGACACAGACATAGCTTTGTTTCCTGCAAAATAATACTGAGAGAAGCTTTGGGTAGAAAACATTTGTGGTTCAGCAGCAAGTACGAGAACTTGTCCTACAAAATGCTGTTTACCACCCACAAAATTTATTGCTCTTAAGCTGTAAAATTTTACAAGGTCCCCCTACAAAATTTTAGTATATATGTACGTATATACCTGGATGGGGAAAGGGTAGTTCTTGTAGACCTCTGAGATGTTCTTGATTGCGAGCTTGTCTTTGGCGAAGTTACGAGAGAGGAAGACGCACTCGAGAGCCCACAGGATCTGACCGAACCCGGGAACATAGAGTACCGACCTCTTGGGCAGCGTCCGTATCGTCTGAAAACAACAACAACAACAACAACACACAAGAGCATCAATTTGCCAAGTTGTTGCTGCATAAAATACATCTGTATACTCACAACAAGGGGGGAAAACTTTGGTTTAGGATTTTATTCACTTTTTTCAGTAAAATGGTACATGAACTGCTAACATGCAATTCAGTATACTTCGACAATTATGGTATACACAATAGCATAGCATCGTTTTAACAGTTTTTGCGCTGTGAGGAAAAGACCAGCACCTAGATGGAGCAGAATACATTGCAATCGTGGACGAAATGGGACATACGTACGTGTATGAAATTGAACTGAGAAGCGACGAGGTAGCCGGCCACCCAGTCCAGGTCGCCACGGTGACTGAGGGTCACCAGGGAAAACTCCTTCCCGAATTTCTGAAACACCTCCTCCTCTCCAAAGAGACGGACGCTGATGCCTGCCCAGTCGTGACATATCCACGCAAACTCTGTGGGAGGAAAGACACGCACAACAGGAAACACATTTACATAGCAACGAAGACAAGAAAGTCAGTAAAACTCCTCTAATCTTATAATAAGTGTTACCTAGTGGGGTGTCCGCAGGGGTTATATTGCATGCAAGAACTGTTCTAGGGGGAAGAAAAGGTTCCCTCATTACAGAAGTGTCCTTATTTCAGGGCTAGGAGGGGTGCCCTTCAACTGGCCAAAACACAGTGCGGATGCGTATTACACTTGTTTTGAGTTTTAGTAGTAGTATTTCTCCACGTAAAAAAAAAACCTAGTTTATAGGGATTTGGAGGTTGCCGGCTCCCCCAACTCACGTCCCAAGATGGAGTAGGCGAGGAGGGAGCTGACGCGACGGTAGGCATTCTTGGAGAGCGGCCAGAGAGTGAAGGAGAGGACCACCAACAGGACAGACACCAGTCCCGCGCTGCTCACGAACACGTACGTGAAGAGTAGCGGGAAAAGCGGCAGACGCTTGACCCAGGCTGGCACTACAAACGCCAACGGCATCTTACTTTTGTGAACTTCGGCCCAGCTCTCGTCTCTGTGGCTGAGGTAAACAAATAGAGGTCACCCTTTCAGTCAGTGGGGGTGCGCGTCAATTAGAAGGATGGCGTCGCTGCGTTTGTTGGACACGTGGCGCTTGTTTTCGGCTCCGCAGAGCCTCCAAAAGACGTTGTTAAACTGTACCCACTGGAAACCACCTTCTCGTAAGTTTAAGCCTACAACTGTGCGTATATTTAGCGAAATGTAAGTTTATACCTGAAATAACTGCAGCTTACAACATCCACTCTGTGGTTCCACGGATTTTGCTAACTACAGCTGTTCCCTTGAGGAGCAGCTCGACTATTGGCGCAGACATTCTGGGTCAGCTAAACCTGAGGTATAATTATTCATCCTCCACAGCACAAAACGCAGAATTTATTAGTTACTAGCAAACTGTGCTTGTCACGCAGGCCAGAGGCTCACAGACAAGACCCAAGGGACCAGGTGCCCACGTCAGTGAAAACACCCACACCACAGGCGGTGACGGAGCTACCAATCATGCACATAAAGGCCACTCACAACAACACCATCGTCACACTCAGTGATGCCGGAGGGAGGGTCCTGGCCTGGACATCTGCTGTGAGCTTATTATAAAAATATGAGCAAATTTTGTCGTTTGAGGACCAAAGATTGTGCTTTGTGCCACCAAATCACACATTTTACATTTCATTGTTCAATTTTAGCAGATATCCAGGAGTGTAAACAGTGGAATATTCTTTAGATTTGCTGCTGATGCTGAATTTTATGTCCTCTGTTGATGCGCTGGTTTGTGTAGGGAGCAGTTGGTTTCAAGGGAGCCAGGAGGGGGACAAACTTTGCCGGGCAAGAAGCTGGGGCAGAAGCTGCCAGAGTAAGCAACTCCCCCCTCGAGAGAGACAAAGTGGTCCATCTCTGTTCTCTTCTTGTCTCCAGAAAGCCCTGAAGCTGGGATTTAAGAGCTTTCAGGTCAAGTTAAAGGGGACTGGTCCTGGAAGAAAGGTAATATAATATACAACAACACGATAAGGTTTATACAAAGATTTGGGGGTGTTTTTGAATCTCTTTTCTTGCAGCCTTCGCTGAAGGGACTAGAGATGGGAGGAATAAACATAATCACTCTCCAGGACGTGACGCCTGTACCTCACAACGGCTGTAGGCCGAGAAAAGCAAGACGATTGTAGAATTATCTCTGCAGAAAAACATGCGCATGCGCACAGCGACGACTTAGTGTGCATGCGCGATTTAATGACGTCACGGTTTACTACGTGTGCGCTCACAAAACTTTCAAGAACCGAGCGGTGATGGTGGGTCTCCCGTCTTCCTTCTGTCTGTTACTACTGTTGACTGGTGTGTGTGTGTCTACGGGCCCGGAGAACGATGGAGATGTGTACCAGATGCCTCTCCCCATGCCCGCTAGGGGAGTCAACCCTCCGAAGGTGAGGTCTCGCCCCATAGTACGCACGAGAACCCCTCGTAGAACACCACCTTTCTTCGTTATGTATGACGCTATACATAATAAAGAGATGATCATAAATATGACGCTACTCTTGCGTTCGAGGTTTCGTGTGGAAATTTGGATTTCGAATTATCGCTGGTTTTTCTTTCTACAGTACAATGACTACAGGTGCCGAGCTACCAAACTGCCTATCACCGACAACTACATAGGTCAGTGATAGCCCTGGTACATACTTCCTCTGTTTGTCATATCCTGAGAACTTCCTCAATTCCGTTCCAATTTTCTAATGTTTGGTGTCTGTACCTTTCGTTATCCCAATTATCTCCATTCCAGTTCTCAATTACCTCAAGCTTTACTAGAATGGCGTGTAAAGGAGAGTGTTTACCGTGGGAGGCTACGTGTGTTGTTTCAATGCAGTGAGCTACGAGCCGAGAGCCGACCCAAATGTGGCTCATCACATGTTGCTGTACGGTTGCCGAGTACTCGGTACTGGGCTAGACGACTCTAGCAGCTGGTGAGTCTCTCTCTCTCTCTCTTTCCCTTCAACCTATTTACCTCCTCTCTTTCTCTCTCCCTCTCTCTCCCTCTCTCCCTCTCTCCCTCTCTCCCTCTCTCTCCTTCTCTCCCTCTCTACAGGAACTGCAAGAGCAGCACAATATGTGGGACCTTATCACACCCCAAGATCCTCTATGCATGGGCTCTCAATGCCTCTGGTTTCCAGCTCCCGCCTGACGTGGGGCAGCTGGTTGGTCCTGGAAACTCCATCAACTATCTCGTGGTTCAGATACACTACGGCCCAGGCGGAGGTGTAATACACACATCTATTTGTTTATGATTTTCTGTTGCACAACGACATGGGGTAGCCAAATACCTTACAAGACTGTTAGATAATGCAGTTGAACCTTCAAATAAAGTAAGGCCCCGATGCATACATTTTTGTACAGAGGTGTTCTTGCAACCAAGTGTCTTTAAGATCCCCATTATAACACTGTGTATATTCAGTTGTTGTTCCCCTAAATCTCCACAGCGTCAGTTCCATCAAGTTCCACTGATCCTCTGGCACTCGTCTTAAACATGACTTCCAGAAGGTTAGGGCTGCATATAATTGACCTATTTCCTATGTCCAGGAAGTCTCGTGCGTGCTAATATCCTGTACAATCTTACTCCTCTTGTGTGTGTGTGTGTGTGTGTGTTTTATAGTCAGCAAAGGCTCTCTGGTGTGTACCTGCTTGGCTCTAGCTCAAAGATTGACGCAGGGAAAAAAGGTCCCCCCTCTCTCTCTCTCCTCTCTCTGCACGTTACCCTAATCCGTATGTTTCTCTTCTCACAGAGGTGATTATTGACACGGCATGCCAGTTCTCCGGTCATAAGTCCATCGTCCCCATCGCATTCCGGACACACGCTCACTCACACAGTACGTCAAACACACTCCAAGGGGCTAGTGCCACATTCATTCACACACTATGGCATGTTCCGTTTGTGTTACGAATGCACTCTCACTGACATTGAAAATACTTTCCACCCTCCCACGATAACACTGGAAATATGCCAAACTAGGTAAGACCACTAATGACGATAGCACCAAGCTAAATAATCTACCGAAAGTTATCTTGAAGTTTTCTTGTAAAGTGAATCAACAACAGTAGTTGACTGATGGACGTGCAACATTAATTAGCCGCTCAGCTAGTGTTTTTGTTACTGATTGAGTCGTGCACCGTACACCATTGATGCACAGGTACTCTCATAGTCGGATATGTGGGAGATGGAAGGGACAAATGGAGGGAAATTGGACTCAGAAGCCCCCAAGATCCTCAGGTATAGTATATACACCCACACTTCAATAGGCACCAGTCTATTGAGATGTCTAATACGAGTGTTTCCTCTTTTGTTTAGGCGTTTTATCCAGTGGTGGACAGCGGCATTACCATTAACCCTGGAGACTGGGTGGTGAGTCTGGGTCCTGTCTCCTCCCCTCTCTACCCCTTTCTCGATCTCCTTCCCCTCCCTCTCTTTCCTTCCTCCACTCTCTACCCTTTTCTCGTTTTCCTTGCCCCTCCCCTCGCTTATTTCCCTCCCCTCCTCTCTTTCCTTACTCTCTCCTCTCCTTGCACCCCTCCGTCTCTCTGTATCCTCCCTTTCCTTCTCCCTCTCTTTCCTTCCCCCCCTCCCTCTCTTTGCTCCATCTCCTTCCTTGCACTCCCTCCGTCCCTCATCCTACTCTCTCTTTCCTTCACTCTCTCCTTCTTCCTTGCACTCCCTCCGTCCCTCTCTCGCTATCCCCCTCTCTCTCTTGTTTGCCCAGGCTGCGAGGTGTGTCTACAATACCACCGACACTGCATTAGACATACACATGGGGTGAGTAATATACATGTACCTCCAGTCATGGGTCCGTGCCAACTATTTTGTTCAATAACATACAAGCACAACCACTAAAATCTTATTGTTGGGATGTCTCAAATGACCTATTATACCTGTATACATGCATTGTTGTTGTGTTTCGCATACTGATGAGTGTGGTGTCATTTTACCAGGAAGTGCAGCGGTTTTTCCCGATTCTCATGGGAGATTAGCCATTTTGCCGCCGTGGAGCATGCCACACACACGACTGCTACCGACTGCTGTAGCTAATATTAAAGCTTACTTGTGTATGCAGTTTGGGTGTAATAGTCATAAATGTGAAGATGATGAAAACCTCACATCATAGCTCTCTAATGCTAAGCATTATACCATGCCCATCCCTATAATGTACTAATGAAAAATATCAAGTATAATACTATTGTGGAGACTCACAAATTGCAACGCTGTGCATTACAACTCTGTGTCTTGTCTGTGCATTACAACTGTATGTTTTTGTAGTGTAGTAAGTTGGTGATTTTCTCTCCCCAAACCTGATGTCCAGGCCGGACACAGAGGACGAGATGTGCAACTTCTACATCATGTACCACACACAGAACGACGGACGGCCGCTCACCAGGGAAAACTGCTGGGCACGGGCCCCTTGGGCATCCACTTCCCTCCCCTCCCCGTCCTCCCACCCTCACAGCTCTCACACTCTCACCACCATCACCACTCCCCCATGGGGAGCGGGCCCGACGACGATGCAATTGAAATCATCGCTCCGAATCCGATTACATCGCCGGGAAAAGAAACGACATCGCCGTCATTATCTAGAGGCAAAGACAACCACGTAATTGAGGAGGAAGATCATTACGTGTGTCCGAGTCCGATTCCACCTGGCCCGGTACCAGCCCAGTGTGTGGAGACCACACCCACTAATCAGGGAGCGGGTGGTAAGGAAGGAGACGGACCGTTGTACAATATAGTATTGGCTGATGACTGGCCCTTTAATGGGATCAGTGATCCTCACGTGGAGGCCGAGACGGGAAGGGGCGGGGCTTTGGGTCAGGTGACCTCGGTTGCCGTGGCGCCAGACGGGAGTGTGTTTGTTCTTCACAGAGGACCTCGAGTTTGGGACAGCAGGTGAGCCTCTTAGCAGGAAAAATGGCGGACATTTGATTAATGTTGGCAATTAAGCAGTTAACCATATGCAGTAAACCAGTAATTGACAAACTTATTAATTCACAATCACAAATTCACCCACTTGTTTCCACTAATAATATGCCAACAAACGACTAAAATGTCAGAATTGTGAATTTTTCATCCCTGCAGAACTTTCACCGTCAACAACCTGTTTGTGGACGCAGCTAAGGGACCCATATCTACTCCAGTCCTCCTAAAGTTCTCCGGAGACGGAGTACTCCGTGGGGTGTGGGGTGGGGGACTCTTCTACTTACCCCACAGTGTGACGGTTGAGCGGAGTGGAGCCATATGGATCACTGACGTTGCCATGCACCAGGTGTGTGAACATGGGACACAATAGCAGAAATGGGACACTAACGCGAGGAGATAGTGTGGGAAGGGTATTATTGACAAATGTGACATTACGCGAGTAAAATGCAAGGGTAGTATGTTTTTGGATTTTCATACCCAAAACGGGATTTTGTGTTAAGTGCTGCACTCCTATTGTAAAGATATCACCAATTCTCTCTCTTGTGAATTTTTTCAGCATTCAGCTCCCTTTTCTCTCTCTCTCCTCTCTATTTGCTACGTACATACAGGTTTTGAGATTTGATGATCTGAGTGCCCACAAACCGTCCCTCTCTCTCGGACACATGTTAATCCCTGGATCAAAACCTGGCTACTTGTGCAAGCCAGCCGACGTGGCAGTAGCTTCTTCCGGAACCTTCTATGTTGCTGACGGGTACGTATGTATACATATTACAGTGTACTGTACACCTCGTAACAGAGTGAAAATTGATATGTTATGTGTTTTATTCTTGGTAAGTGTACCTACACGCTTTGTAATTGGAACTTTTGGTGAAAATTGATATTGAGCTTTATTTCACGGCGGATATTGGACAGGCATGTTGATATCATTAATTTATGGTGTAACTCAATTAGAACAGTCCCAAATGGAAGAATGAGTGTCTTTTTCATCTTTCTCTTCTCTCTTAAAACGCAGATACTGCAACAGTCGAGTGCTGGCCTACGGTCCAGACGGCATGGTCAGAGCCGTCTTAGGGGATTTCCCCATCGAGGGTGAAACCCTGTTAGTTCCGCACAGCCTGACGCTGAGCCCCTCAGAAGACCAGCTCTACGTTGCCGACCGTGAAAACCAGAGAATCGTGGTAATGGACGTGACCGGAGCTGGGAACGTGCGAGTGTTTCCGGTCGGAGGGCTGGATCGGGTGTTTGCCGTGGGTCTGAGTGGGTTGAGCCCTGGTGGCTGGCCCATGTTGGCGGTGGTAGAGGACAAGAGGGGAGAGAGGGGGTATGGATTGACAATCACCGAAAACGACGGAGTTGACAGTGTTTGGGGTGCGGAGGAGGTACGTAAGGGAGCTACATATAGCTTCTTGGTGCTGAAATTGCATGAAGTCAGTGTGTGCCCATTGATTGGTTTGTTTGGGATTGCCCCCGTGTGATTGGGGTGAATTTACGTGTGTGTGTTTGTGTATTAGCTCAGCCTATTAACTGTGCCATTCTCTTTTTGTTGTGTGTGTGTGCATGTGTGTGTGCGTGCGTTTGTAGGTGTTTCACAAGGTCCACGATCTGGCTGTGGATCCTGTGAATAAGGCAGTTTACGTCACTGAACTAACACCAGCTAGGATATGGAAATTCTCCATTGTATCTGGTGAGCTCCTCTACAACATGCATGGGAATTTCCATTTTCTGTGTGTTATACAATATTTTGGAGACAATTTTTAAGGCGCAACAAGCTCTTATGTGTATGACCTACTTCTTTACTACGTTAGTGCTAAAGTTTTATTTCCCGTTGTAGTAAAATTAATGGCCACAATTTCATTTCAGAAGGCAATGCATCCACTGTGCCAGCCACACATTTGCCTACTACCGAAACGACCACAGGGAGCACTATTGGTACCACTAATCGACCATCGAGTACGCAAACACCCGGTACCACTGAGGGGCCACAGGAGACGACAGAAGCTCAAACTACTGCCACCACATCACCCACCACCGAACCACCAAACACCCAACCAACGGAGACACATACAGAGAGTGTTGCTTCAGGGCCAGTTTCAACTGAAAATGCTGCACCAAGTACTCCTGAGGGTAGCAACAGTAGCTCAGACTTCCCGCCGTCCAATTCTGATGACTCCACATCGTCGTCCGGAAGCCCCGCCTACTCTGGGGACACCAACGACAATGCCGAAATGACGGGCAATGACGCAAGCAACTACCCTGCCTCCCAAGTCCACAAGTCGAGCTCAGCGGGAGACAAAATAGCTACGCCGGCATTCCACTACGGTCTGTTTGCGGCCATCTTTGCCATCGTGGCTCTCATTCTGGTCGTGGTGGTGGGGATCTTGAAGGAGCACAGGTTCCTGCGGTTCAGAGTGAGGCGAGTGGGAACAACTCAAGCAAGCTCGGAGGGGAAAACGTCGCGGGAGACACTACACTCGCTACTCGGTCCCAGCAAACTTGGTTTCAGTCGACTGAGGACGTACGACTCTGACAGCGAAGTGGAGGAGTTTCCCATATTCTCAAGAGTAAGATTCTGTCTCCTCTCGTCTGTTTACTAGGGAAGTCCTTGCATTATTCACGCAAAGTTTTCCTTTCCACTATAAGCAAGCAATCCTACAAATCATCATACATTGGACGTGGAAATCCATGCATCATCCACAGGACCACATTCCCAGTGCAAAATTTTATGCATAGCTAGAAGCTTATTCTCTTTCCTGCTTGTGTACATGAGTGTGTGATTATCCATTATGCTATATACTGTTCCCTTTTTACAGCAGCTGTGATCTGCTAATCAACAGGCTATAGCGGAGAACTCTCTAATTCAAAGTCATCTTCACTCTTTCATTGATCACTGGCTGGCCTGTTCCACAACCTATTATTACATGATTGTGTCATGAATCTTTTTATAATTTTTGTGTGGATGAAATAATATGACTATTACAAGTCTGCAGTCATGCTTATTTGTGTGTCTAGGCATGGTCAGTAAAAGTCACAATTTTTGCTCCGTAAACTTGGCATAGCAGTCCATGGAACAGAAGACGTATACGGACGAGAATCTCCGGACGTGCACGAGCGGCGGCAGCCCAGGGGACGACAAGGCGCAGAAACTGCACGGAGGAAAGCTCTGCGGGCTCCTCCGTTGTTGCATTGCCCCCTCCGACGACCCCCCAGCAGTTCCGTAGCGAGCCGCGTCAGATGTGCGGCTCGCCACTTCCACTGCGCTTCTCTCGAGCTGATCCACCATATTCACAAACCCGTGGGGAAGAATAAGCGCCTCTGTTGGCTTCGTTCAGTACACTGGACTCGACTTCTGTCCGCTTGTGGTCTCCTTCGCCAGTGTGCAGTTTAGAGTTTGTTCGCTATCCGACACCTTCCGGCGTGTCCTTAGCGTTGGTAGCAGTAGAAGAGCCAGAAACCATTTCACAGCCACTGGGTTTGTTCTGAGAGAGAGCCTCTTTGCCGCAAACGCCGCGCCAGTCCTTATTTTATTGCACAGCTCGTGTCTGCTCTTACACCATCACGTTGAAACTGCTGTTTCTATGGCAACCTCGTCGTCACACGAGTATAACGGGGATTTCCCCATACACTGCGCATGCGCGCATGATGGCGACCGCTAGTAGTAGTGAAACGGCTGATCCATTCCTGGAGCTCTGTGCTCTTCCCTACGAGCAGTCAGAGAAGAGAGACACCTGCCAGAGGTGTAGGTAAGAATTCCCGAGCGTACATCAACATTGCACCTTGAGTGAATAGCTACTACATGTGCAGGCGACCGAGTGTAGTGTGTGTCTGTAGCTGTTTCCCCGAGTCTCCAGTCTCTATTGAGACACGAGTCGTCATCCTGCAGCATCCAAACGAGGTAACTCAGAGAGTATTCTGCAATCGAAGCTTCAGTTTTTCAGTGTGTGTGTGTGTGTGTGTGTTGGTTGAAGGAAGGACGCTGCCTGGCAACAGTGCCTCTTCTAGTGGAGTGTGTATCACGTGACAAGGTCCACGTCATACGTGGCAAGAGATTTGGAGATAGTAGGTGAGTATATCTCTGTGTATGTCCCTTTCGCCTCTTTACCTTTATCACGAAGAATTTTCGGGCCCTGTACATAGTGATACATCTATGCCTACATTTGCACTATATCTATTTGTGCAGAAGGCACCCTGTACTTCACAAGGCACTGACCTCTCCAAACAGTTACATACTCTATCCAGGAAGGAATGGTAATCCTGTTGAAAAGCCAACGTTCTGATATAAAGTGTGTTGGTTATTATATAGCCATAGACCTTCATTCGCTACATCGTGATCCAATTGGTTGCAACAGCAGCAATGATGGAGCTGCTCTGATAGTACTGGATGGTACCTGGGCTCAGGCTAAGGCCTTGTACACTCAGAACCCTACACTACACAACATACAACAGGTAACCGCTTCTCTGCAATGGTACCTGCAGTCCTACTTTGACTTGTCATTCCAATACTTAGTGGGATCTCTCTATAGGGACACCCCTGAAATAATGAAACTTCTATAAAGGGCACGACTTTCTTCCCCCAAAGAACAGTTTCTTGACCCCCGACTAACAGTTAGAACACAGAGAGTAGTTGGTACAGATCAATCCATTCCTCAGGTGAAGCTGGACGTGGAGGCAGTGCAGTGAGTACGTGATAAGAACTCAGCCCAGTCGGAACAGTCTCTCGACCCTCGAATCCATAGCCCACTCTCTTGCCTGGCTGGAGAACAATACCGACATTGTCGAAGTACGCATCACGTAGACTATCTTCCTCCTTAGATGAAGTACTATATATAATTATAGCTATGCTGTCGTGCCCTCGCCCTATATTGATGATGTCTTCCGATCCAGTGAGAATAGAGAGAAAGCACTGTAGTGTTTTACGACATGACTTTATATTTTCACTGTTGCAGTCCGAATGCCTTTCAACTAATATATACCTCCCCCCGCAGGTGTTACTGAGACCACTGAGGTGTCTATGTCGGCACCAACTGGACCACGGAGCTGTCACCCACCACAGTAAAGAGGACCCCGACTACCTACCTCGAGAGGTCCGTGCCAGAATAAAGTGAGCCTCCTCTCTCCTCTTTCACTGCTATATCAGGTGCTATTAATTTTTCCTTGCAGGAAGGAGCAGAAATTACAAGCATTGACTGGCACACAAGACAAACGTGGATTGACTTGACATTCACACAGTCTTTTTTAAATACCTCGTTATTTTTTAAAGTGTATACAATATATAGTAGTGAAAGGTCTGAAGGTGCAGTAATAACAGTTTGGTTGAAAGAAGAAAATTAGAACTGTCAGACAGAGTACGGAGTATCCCTACTTTCTCCCTCTGAGTAAAGAAAAACATACCAACATCAACATTTGTTCATCACTCACGTCCACAAGGAGACTACTTTATACAACTGATGCTTGCCTTTCTGTAGGTCCCACCCACAACAAATTTTAGTTCGCATCCCTCAACATTTTCCCACTATGAATCACCGTACCGTCTGTATCTGCCGGAGGGCGGGGGTTTTACAAAGGCCCAGTCAACTTCCACAGTTTTCCCGAGGATGTCGGTATCGTTGAGACCACTGATTGCGTCTTTGGCTTCTCTGTATGTCTCGTACTCAACTAGTGCATAACCCTATTCAAACACACAGGCTATCAATGGTTTATTATGTGTAACATAGGAGTTAACAACAAAAAGTGCATGTGGCACGATTACAACGGGTAAGAGTTAAAGAAATGAAAGAGAAATAAGATCTAATGTGAAGAGTTAAAACAATGAAGAACAAAAGTCTAACAGAAAGAATAAGAGCGCAAGTCGAGGGGAAAGGGTTAAAGAAATGAAGGGCAAACCGTGCCTAGCTGAAAAGGGTTAACGGGTAAACCGACCTTGATGTATCCAGTTCGGCGATCTAGATTGACGTGGATGTTTTTTGATGTCCCCGAACTCGGAGAATTTGTCCATGATGTCGTCTTCTTGTGCCTCTTCGTGGAGTCCTTTTATAAACACTATCCACCCCTCGATGGCTGCCGAGAGAGAAAGAGGTTGGAGAAGAAGGGGATGGAAGGATGAGAATAAGAGAGAGAGGGAGTATAGGAAAACAAGTCACATTAGTTGCTACAGCTTTTAAAAGCTATTACTGTTCAAAACTCACATCTCATGGGGCCTTCCTTGTCGTCTTGGTGAATACTATCATAATGACCCTTTCTGCTCTGGTGGTATTGCTTCTTTAGAGAGAGAAATGAATCCATTGGAACAATATAACCTTCTAAAGCAACTGCAAACACTCACCGCCAAACCCTCGTCCTTTTTTCTTGGTGGCTCTTAGCTTCAGCTCGTCGGTTCTGTCTGGAAGACCGCGTACAGTGTGACAGTGGGCGATAATTAGAACCTCCCCGGGACTCTCACCTTCCGTGAAGTCTTCTTCCCCTTCCTCCACCTGCACGTTCACGTCTATTCCCGCCATGATCAACTGAACCACACCAGTGACGAGAAAGATACAAAACCGAGGTGTCTAGCTATAGCGAAAGAAAGCGTGCGCACTATATACGTGAGTTGAAAAGTTCTAATAAGAGCGCACTTTGATATCACACGCGCATGCGCAAGTGCAATCAAAATTTTCATTGTAGCTCAAATGGAGGTAGAAATGTGTATCACATAACAAGGCATTCTATTGTTAAAATTTATAGGGGGTTTGCCCCCCGGGCCTGGAAAAGGTGACAACTTATTATACACCACAAAAAGTGTTCATATTGCTTTCACAGCGACAGTGATTTCCTGCAGGGAGCAAAGAAATAGACGCTCATACTTGAGACTGAGACTGACTTACACGAACCCCTTACCTCTCCCATGGGTGTAGAAGGCATGAGAGACACTATCACAGTGTTAGTGGCTGTACTGTAGGAGGCTGATTCAGGGGGATACACACTGCAGTGAAATAAACCATTTATGACCCAAAACAGCGATTCGCAGACTTAACATTTCAGACTTAAAAACATTTCAAGTGTCAACTACAGACAAACTGTAAAAAGAGCCAGTATATGTGGGGGGCATGGGAAAAGGTACCTATATGGCTGGAATGTGAAAATTAAGTTTTTGAGGGTGAAAAAACACAAAAACTTAATTTTCACATTTCAGCCATAATATAGCTCCCTTTTCCCATGCCCCCTCACATATAAGTGATAGAATGTAGCTATGTCTCACCTGACGGTTAAGCCATCTGGGTAGTAGTATTTCTCATTGACGTAGATCACAGTCGGTGGGAAATCAGCCATGACGTCGGCTGTGAACGTCACACTGAAGTCACCAGTTTCAGGGTCAAAGGTCTGGTTGACATAGCGACCACTCACAGCCTGTACAACACAGACAAACCCAATACTGGACATGAGTTTTTGGCGGATTTTTAGTATGCCCAGTTTCCACCAGCACAAGACACAGAGAAATACAATGTACAGCCATCATACATTTTCAGGATATAATGTAAAATTGTACCTTGGCATATGATCTGGAGAGCATCTTGACTTTCTCGCTCTGCAGGGTCCCATTCTCAAACCAAAGACCTTCGGCCGTACTGGACTGAGTTATGAAATCACCATACCTAGCATACATACAGTATATAGTTTATGGACTTATGTCTTGCACATTCATATCCTGTTGAAGAGGTTTTGCAAATGCTTATATTTAAGCAGTTGTGACTGACAGCCATCAGAAGTTGCAGTTGTTAAAGCATGCCACAACACATGTGCCAGCCACATTCATGCAATTTTATTTGCGAAAAGTTTTGATTTTTAGTGAACTCTAACCCTTTGTATTGCCAGTAAGCCCAGGACTGTAAGTGCTCATCCGCAAGCCCCTGAGGTAAGGTAGTTATTATTTATAGTCCATACTGAGTCGAAATGTTCCTCACCATCACTTTTATCCCATCCTCATAAGGTCTGCTGCCAGCCATTGTCTTGTTATCGTAGGCACCCCTGTATTCATAAAACCAACAACTAATGATAAAATTCAGGGTCCACTTTCTTCAAACAATAACACTATGCTCAGGACACGGTGAGCTGAGGTGCATTATTCTATGTACATACCATTCTGTCATGAAACCCGCCACTCCCAGTTTCTCGGTATCGTGGACTCTATTTCTTATCACTTTGTCCTCCACACCATCACACAGTCTTGTGTTCAGCGGCTGCATCATCACATGATAATCACATGGGTTTAATATGAAATTACATAACACTCATGTGAAAGTCACATGACCTGTCCATTTCCATCCAGTGCAATGCAGTACAGATGATAGGACAACACTTGCCTGTATGTGAGAGAGACAAAGGTGAGTCACATGACAATCAGGTGGAAGTCACATGACCACAAACCTGTCGTTGTACTGTGGTCCACCAGGTCCGTGGCTCAGCCCAGTCTCCGAGAACTTAAAAGGCAGCTTCAGAGAGCGAGAAAAAGTGACCACAGGAGAGAGAAAATTAATAAAAGAGAGAAAAGATGCACCAAACTTTTAAAAATAACTGAGGAATGTTATCTCGGATCAAAAATATTCCACGAGCCTCAAAAATACTGTGTGTATTTACACTGGTGATGATGATAGTTGGCTCAAAAAAGATGATGTGCTGGTCGTCGTACTCCCTAATGGCAGAGTGGAGTCTCGCATACATTGGTTCCAGGTTCCTGGAATCTGCCGTGCCTGGAATGGAAACATTGGGTATGGGAATGTGACGGTGGAACGGAATGGAGGAATCACTTGGTAGCAGTTGGTCAGGATGTCGATATATGTCTCCAGCCCACGGCTCATTCAATAGCTCGTAGCCTGGGAAACGAGAAAATGTTCAAAAAATTCACTCATTTAGATTTCATTATCATGATCGGAATGAAAAAACCATTATACGGTACATTAAAGACCCTCAGAGGTCACTTTATTAAGGGGGATACTCCCATAGTTAAACAGTCTCGTACACACAACTGCCTATGATATAGGGCCCCCTCTCTGAGCACGACACACAGTCTAGTTACCTAATACGTAAGTATTCCCAGTAAATTTCCTGGCCACCTCCTGCCAGAACCTCAGAAAATGATCCTGCACTCCCTGCTCGTTGTCATAGAGACTCTGCCTGGAATACAATGACGTATAATATAATCAGTACTAACGTTAGCAACAACCTGCTATATTGAGCATAATATTGAGATGTACCATGATTTTGAGTCGGCGTCTGAAAAGTAGTAGGTGAAGAAGGAGTGTTTGTTGCACTCACTGCGATATGGATAACTGCAGGGAAATGAGTTTAAACCCTCTCTCTAAGGACACCCCTGAAACGAGGACACCTCTCTAATAAGCAAACCCACTAGAACACGTCTTGCATGCATTTATATACCCCTAAAAAAAGGACACTTCACCAGTATGTACACTTTCTTGTGTCCAATTGGTGCCCTGATTAGAGGGGTTCCACTGCAATAGTAGCTCTAATCTACATATCATACCCAGTGTCTGGATCCACACGATAGGGGAAGAGGGAGGGGACGGGCTCCGGAAATTTCCTAGGTTTGATGCTCCTGTTCATGTACAGCGCCGCGTAGTCCGGTACTCCCTCACCTCCGTTACAAAAGTACAAAATATTGCCTTTTTTCAGAAAATTGTTTCAAAAGAAGGCAAATTTCCCAAAGATAGAGGAAAACCTTTATGAAACAAAAAGGAGATCACAGAATCTCTCCTGTCTTTCAGATACTTTTCTTAGAGAAGGCAAGTCCCCTACAGCTACTACTTGGGAATATCTTGCGGATTGAGACCTATTAATATATTATCGTGAGTGTCAGAGGTCCCCCTGAAGGGGGTAAATTCATGCCCCCTTGAAAGTTTAAAGAACCCCTCATTTCACTGGTTTACCACAAAACTTGGGGGAGAGGAGGTCCTGGTGGCAGTCCAGAATTGTAAAGATCCCAGCATCTCCCAGTTTGTTCACATAGTCCTCCAGAACCTGTGGACATGATAAGATTATTATAGACATCTCTTAGCTAGCTTTTTATAGGGGTTAGCAATATTGTGTATGTAGGCATAAAGATTATGAGGTGGTGCTGTTTTGTTGACTGATGAAATGAACCACATGTTCTTGTCTTGTGTCCTTGCTGTAGTCATAAAAAAATTCGGTCATTATTGCACAAAAAACTTAGCTGGACTAAAAATATGTGACTGCAAATTTATGACTAAATTTTCTGCCGCTCACATCTAAGTAGGTGGAGTTGTAGATTCCTTCGGCCGGTTCAACTCCCGGCCAAGCGACGTAGAGTCTGACGACGGTGAACCCACTCTCCGCGAGGAACTCTATGTCTTCAGCCGCCAGCGAGAACTCTGGGTCAAAACTAGAGTTTTGTGGATGGTAGGGATAGCTCTTGTACACCTGAGGGGGGGAATATGTGTCGGTTTGGTGAGCAAGAGTGAAGTGCACTTATTTTGCGCCTCATGCAGAGGCACCGAGTATGACGAATGCTTTTGCTCTGATTCACATTATACTGCTATACCACAAGTTAAGAACGCAGCGGAATGCCTGCTCACGCACATTTTTCATCACACGAGCCTTATAGGCTAGAATATCTGTATGCTACTGGACCTACCACGTTGACTCCGTGGAAGATGCGAGCTCGACCTGCAGAAAACACCTCAACACACGTGGCCGCGAGGTAAAGCAAGCTGGCGCCATATCTCTCTCTCACCATAGATATCCACTAGCTGTCTCGTTGTAGTGTCCACTTTGACACAGCAGTTATCGGATCTCTGCTCGTGGTCGGCTACACCCAGAGCTACCAGACACACGGCTAAGCCGAAGACAAGCAGCACCGTCTGCAGCTTCATGTTTAACGTTTGCGGGTGTCTCGGAGCAGCCACGCCCACCCAGTACACGTGCGCTCTGTGGCAAAACGCGCATGCGCAATAAATGTGTTGCGGGAGGTGGCCCTTTATACCGTAACTTTCGAAACAAAATTTTGACTGGTTTTTTTCACATGCTTTACCTTACCAGTCTTCAAAAAAATAGCCGCTTTACCTCTTAAACACTTTTTACTCAACGCAATTGTGAATAGTCAGTTATCATGTATAGAATGAACTGTGCATGCATCAAAAGAAGAACATTCCACAAAAGACAAAAAAAAAGAAGGGAAAAAAGTACAAATGTAGAGCAAAGACCGGCTGTTGCCACGGCCGATACAACAACACATTCACGACTATTATACCTTCACCGTAGAAATTACAACATCCACTTGTACACATGTGCACATCACGTCATTGAATGTACACATATCGGCGGGAAAATGAAAAAGGGGGAAATAGCGGCAGTTTCTACTACTCTGGACAGAGGAGTTTTGTGATGCGAGCAAAGTTCGGACGTTGGCTGGGATCCTTGTGCCAGCACTCTACCATGATGGCATAGATGTGCTCTGGGCAGCCATCGGGGGAGTCCATTCTGTAGCCTCTCTCCACGTGAGACGCTACCTCTTCCACCGGCTGTGAAAGAGAGGGGCATGCAGATAACTCTCTCTCTCTCTCTCTCTCTCTCTCTCCTCTTACGTAAACATACAGAAACAGACGAAATGACTGTGAAAAAAGAGGGACTAAATTCCCCTCTCTTTCTCTCTCCTCTTTCTTCATGTCCAATGTATATGTAAGATGGGAATGGGGAAGCAAGTGTTTATCTTGGAGTGTGTAACTCAGTGCATAGTGACTGAGTCACTAGGCCTGGAACGCAACTCCTGACATAGGTTGATTCCTCGTTCAGTCAAAGTGAACATCTACAAGATATTGGAAACAGTAAACGTGACTCACAACTCGAGGATAGGGACGCGGCCGTAGGAGTAGATCTCCCACAGTAAAATACCAAAGCTCCACACATCAGACTTATTTGAAAATTTCTGCGGCAAAATGAAAAATCATCTAATGATTCGCACATGTACGTACACACAGCAATGAGCTAAAAATTTAACACACAGCATTCGTAAAAAGACTCTATAGCGCCTAAAATTGTTAAAGGAGAGACTGTGTATGTAAGAAGAAGCAATCTGCTAGTTTTGTCACTGAATGGAGGAACTTTCTCCCTCGAAACATTTCCGCTATACTGTAGTAGAACTATACGAGTCCCTCACATTTTCCCTAAGAGCCTCTGGGGAAGTCCACTTCACCGGCAGTTTCATTCCCTCTGACTTCTGCAGCACGTCTCTCGTGAGGCCGAAATCGGACACCTTTGCCATGTTGTCGTCTGATATCAGCACATTTCGGGCTGCCAGATCCCTGCATGCGCCGAGGCAAAAACAACATTCTCTTGTTACCGTTGTTTTGACTCGTACTGTATTCTCTCTCTCTCTCTCTCTCAACCCCCCCTACCTATGTATAAAGTTCTGTGACTCCAGATACACCATTCCGTTGCAGACGTTTTTGGCAAAGTCAAGTTTGTTCTGCTTCGAGATGACCGCCCTGCCCCTCGACCTCAGGTAGTCCACCAGCGAACCCTTGGCCATGAACTCTGTCACCAGGTACACTGGGTGGTCGTCCAGTGAGACGCCAATGAGCGATACCAGATTTTCATGACGTAATGTCCTGGTGGGAAGAGAAATTACAAGTGAAACCTCTGAATAAGGGGACACCTTTGGGACATTGAAAGTGTCCTATATTCAGAGAGGGTAATGTATTGGTATGGGGCAGAACTACACAGTGGCTATTGTAGAGATGTTTGGAGTTAGCTTACAGACAACAGCCAGCCCCATTTATATATACCGAGAATAGGGCTGTACGTGCATTTACAGAGAACAGACCCATGCATGCTGGCATGATTTCACTTACGTCATGACGGAAGCTTCGGCAAGGAACTGTTTGGTGGCTTTGGCATCTTTGATGTCTTTCAGCATCTTTATAGCCACCTTGTTCCCTTTGTATTCGCCTAACCACACCTCTGGAGGAAGGGAGTCCAATTGGGATAATACATACATACATACAGAGGTAAAATTATACCGTGCTGCATCAATTTTTCGTGGGTCACGTAAAACAATACGGTATGTGCAATATATACCCGTCACTAAAAAAACTTGCATGTATACGACTATGTACGGCTTGTTTTGCTCCACAATTGCAAAAGGATGACACCCCCAGTCTCGTGACCTGGAATTACATAACATGGTCTATTGTTGCCGAGCGCATTAGCGCGAGGAAACTACTCCGGGTTGTATTCTCGCGATAATGCGTATGTACGTACGTGTCGGTCACGCTTAAGAATGTCAATTAGTCACGCTTAGGAATGTCAAAACGTATGTATGTATGTTTGTACCTCCATATTCTCCCTTGCCAATGCTGTTCTTCTTGATAAGTTGGGCTCTGGGAATGTGCCAGCCACTGGCCTTGAACTCCTCAGCTGACACCTCGAACTCAACCGGACCTTCCTTCTCCACCGAGTGCTTCAGTCTGCAGCACAGTCCATCTGCGTCATCTTGATAATGCTGAGAATGGGGGAGGAGGTGAGAGAGATAGAGAGAGAGAGAGAGAGAGAGAGAGAGAGAGAAAGAGACAGGTTAGTTAATGTGTGATGGTCCACGAACAACCACTGTTACAGTGCTGAGAATGGGAGGTAAGGCCTTGTTTAGACGGAGCTGCATCTTGCATCTGTATCCGTCTTGGGGACAGGCATGATACACAGCTTCTTAAACTGCTGAAATTCACCATCCATTCACACACACACACACACACACGTAATAAAGACGTTGTTAGAGAAAACGGATAGCGAAAAAAAACGAAGACACGAGAAAAATAGAATGACATAATTATTATTAGGCTGTGATAATAAATACTCACTTCCACCAGTTTGAAAAGGTTCTCGAAAAATTCCTCGTCGTCCACGGTAACCAGATTGTTCTTCCTGATAACCCGGTAGTGTTCAATCTTAGTATCGTAACTGAGGTGAAAATGAATCAGGGGAAGAGGCAATTAAGACATGAAAAACACGAATGAAGATATTCAAAGGCTGCAATATTTCAGTTGCAGTTAACAGGCAGTCAAGAAGAAAGACAGAAGAAAACAAAAAGACAATAGATCAACAGTCAAGCGTAACACATATGCCATACAACAACTGAAGATATTCAATGCAGCTGCAATGTGTAGCCGTGTGGTCAATGTGTAGCCGTGTGGTCAATGTGTAGCCGTGTATATAGTCAATGTGTAGCCAGTCTCACTGGACGCAGAGAGTATAGTCTCCCTTGTAGTTCTGGCTCTCTCGGACCAGATAGGTTCCGTTCTTACGACCGTCCTTCCTCAGTAGACGCTCCGCCTCTTCCCGACTGATGTTGCCATGGAACCACCTACAGATAGTAGGGAAGAGGAGGAGGGGGGGTGAAGGTGAAGGCAAGAGCAACAAAAAAGCATCTAAGTCTAGTCTTTCCCTCCATACATTTTGCCACCATAAAACAAGAAATTAACGAGACGACACTCTTCCCATACATAAGACAGCAATCTGTGCCAGTGCTTACGTGATTACATTTCTCCCACACATAGCTAGTGGAACAACATTTAGAGGAACATCCTGTGGTCTCTAGTCTCTAGAAGAAGATTGTGCGTCTATTCCGTGTGGGAGGAATGTATGTTTATTGTGTAGGTTGATATTGAAAATAGCTTGTGGGCAAAGACTCGCATTCCTGAAATCGCGATGGTGAGAACTTTTGCATGCACTCTAGTGTATATAATATACACACCACCATATTTGTATATAGGGGGTGGGGAGGAGGAATGAGGGAGGGAGAGAGAAGAGAGAGAGAAACTCACGGCATGCTGTGCAATTTCACGGCTCTTCTCAGGTGATGGTCGTTCTTTTCCCCTCCTCCCGCTCTCACCTCCGGCATGGCTGCCATGGCAGCACCGGGCCTCATCGGGGCAGGGGCGGGGCCGGGCGGGGGTAAATCACCCCCCCTCTTCTTCTCCTGGACGTAGTTGTAAGGAATCATCCCCTCCAGGCCGTCATAGCGACGGGCCTTGTACCAGTTTGGGTCACGTGACGGAGCAATTATAGTCAATGTATCGCCTCTTCTGAATGGAAGGTCCTGTGCGGGAAGGGTTAAACCATAAATGGATGATAGGAAGCCCCTTCGAATCAACCCAAAATACTGCACTCTATGATCGTCTTTTGCCGTCATCTCAAACTCCCATGATAACAAATCTTCTAAAAATAGGCTGCAGGCCCACATGCCAAGACAATCGGAAATCCTCCGAATGTCTCCACTATTTGCCGATAGTGGCAGGACATTACAGCTCCCCACACCGCATCACATGACTGTCATGTTCTTTCCAGAAGCCCTTCTCACTCTTTCTTCTCCTTTTCCCTTTCTTATAGTACTCAACCATTATCGTGTGTCATGTGACTTTACCATGTGTGTCATGTGACTTTACCATGTGTGTCATGTGACTTACATGTGACGCAGAACCGAGGAAGGTGTACTTGCCAACACACTCGGTGCCGGGCTCCCAGGAGTGAGCTTGTGCCATAATCTCTCTCTCCCCTCCTCCTCTTCCTCCCTCTCTTCTCCCTCTCTGTTTTCCTATCTCCTCACGGTTACTATCTCTTCACAGTTTATCGAAAGCTCGAAAACAGTCTCTTCACAGCTTTTTGAAAGAGAAACTTCCACTGTTTATAAAAGTGTCGACGAAAGAGTTTCCAATCTTCGGGGAGAGTCGGATTTCTGACCGAGGGAGGGCAAAAATATTGAAAGTGTTGATTCCAACGTTACCTGCATTGTTTTGTGGGTTTCGAAAATACGATGAGCGGTTGTCAATATAATGTGGGACGCACGCAACAACAACAAAAACAGATGTGTTAATAGAATGCATCCTCTCGCTTATCCAAACCTGCTTCGCATACCCAACGGAAAGGAAAGACGTGCAAATAACTCCCATATTCCACAGTCCACGCAATCCACTATATAGTAGGAACACGTGCAGTAAAACGCCATTTCTCAGTGTATGTGCAACCTTCAATACGACCGCAAAGATGTGCAATAGGAATAAAAATTGAACCTTCAATACGACCGCGAGCTGTGAGATAGGAATTGACTGTTCAAGCACAAGTGCAATCCACCATGCTCTTACCAAGAAGCTACCGACGGTTAAAACGCACTATTCCTTAGCATGACCATATAAGAGCAATGCACAGCTTTAAGTCGTCCGAAATACTTATTTGCAAGTATATTATTTGTCCCAAAGACGCCGGAAAGTGGGGAACCACTGCAACGTGTCAGTCAGCACTTATCACTATACCAGCCCACCAAAAAAGTATTGCCCATTGTAGTATTCAGTACACATAACAAGCATTGTATATATGTACACTGTAAAATATCAATGTATTATGGCAAACACGCCCATCAGGAATATATTAGCTGGTATTACAAGCATGTGTTGTGACTCAGGGTGTTCCCCTTATAAGGCAAAGACTACGTTAGGGGGGCACGTTGTGGTTTTAGCAAGAAGCGATGATAGTGGGCTCCAATTGGAAATCTGACACGGTGGGTTCTAATAAGAATGCATAGAGGCATCCAAGATATGCGCGAACGAGAACGTGTGTGTGTGTGCGCGTGTGTGTGTTGTGTGTGTGTTTCCTTGGAGAAAACAACATCAACAGCAGTATGGTGGCATTTGGCAGCAAAAACACAAGGGCAGCTTGCGATATTTAATTCCACGGCCCTAATGTATGTACGCAGCAAGGGGTGCCCTGTGTAAGCATTGGCTAGTCCAAGGCCAAATATACACGTACAATAAACACAGCTAGAGAGATAGAAAAACAACCACCTAGGAGAGTGCATTTTAGAACTATTACACACTGCTGTAATACAGGCTCAGAATGTTCGTCAGTTCATTCACACTATAGGAGAGCGACAGGAGGCCCTGGGTAGAGTCTAAAAGTGAAGGAGAAGAGAGAGGGAGGGAGGGAGTGAAAAGAGAAGGATAGAGGGAGGAGAGAAGAATGGACAGACGACCCTGACTTTGGCGAGGGCTGGGCTGACAGACTGCCTACACAGGAGACAAAACAAGCTCCTTGCTGGGAGAAGGGCACGGGTGGGTCAGGAGTATAGTGTGGGTTTCACTCCACTTGCTTGCTAAAAGTACGAAAAGTTTTGGCCACCCTATTTTCCATAGCCACGCCTTGAGAATTATTTGCACTGTACACTCCAGCTATAGTCAAGGTCTTCAGGCTGGTTGATTTTCCTGTCCTTCTCCCCACATGGTTACTAAAAGTACGCAAGTTAGGCCCTATAGGTACCACTGCACTCTAGCTATAGCAAGGTCTTCAGGCTGGTTGATTGCCTGTCTCTCCCAATGCTTACTAAAGTACGCAAAGTTTAGGCCCTATAGGTACCACCTGCACACTCTAGCTATAGTCAAGGTCTTCAGGCTGTGGTTGATTTGCCTGTCTTCTCCCCACATGCTTACTAAAAGTACGAAAAGTTTAGGCCCTATAGGTACCACACTGCACACTCTAGCTATAGTCAAGGTCTTCAGGCTGGTTGATTTGCCTGTCCTTCTCCCCACATGCTTACTAAAAGTACGCAAAGTTTAGGCCCTATAGGTACCACACTGCACACTCTAGCTATAGTCAAGGTCTTCAGGCTGGTTGATTTGCCTGTCCTTCTCCCCACATGCTTGCTAAAAGTACGCAAAGTTTAGGCCCTATAGGTACCACACTGCACACTCTAGCTATAGTCAAGGTCTTCAGCTGGGTTGATTTGCCTGTCCTTCTCCCCAAAGCTTACTAACGTACGCAAAGTTTAGGCCCATAGGGTACCCACTGCACACTCTAGTATAGTCAGGTCTTCAGCTGGTTGATTTGCCTGTCCTTCTCCCCACATGCTTGCTAAAAGTACGCAAAGTTTAGGCCCTATAGGTACCACACTGCACACTCTAGCTATAGTCAAGGTCTTCAGGCTGGTTGATTTGCCTGTCCTTCTCCCCACATGCTTACTAAACGTACGCAAAGTTTAGGCCCTATAGGTACCACACTGCACACTCTAGCTATAGTCAAGGTCTTCAGGCTGGTTGATTTGCCTGTCCTCCTCCCCACATGCTTGCTAAAAGTACGAAAAGTTTAGGCCCTATAGGTACCACAACACCTCCTGAGGAATTGCACTGCACAAGGCCCATACAAACCAAACTGCAATCAGGACAATGTATCACCAAGGTAGGGGGTGTATATCACGCAATGGTGGCAAGTGTTCCAGAGTATGAACAAACCACTTACTGTAAACAAACTGACCGCAATCCACTAAGGACACTGGCACAAACCAATTTCAATGCCCATAATACTAGTAGACCTGCACATACACACTTGCATGTCAACATGTACTACTGTAACACAATCAATTATGCTAAGACATTCCTATAAGGCATTGGGTGTAAGAACTTAGCACTAGCTGCTTTGGGAGGGATTTGAATCATTACCTACACGTGCTTGCACATCACACGACAACTGATAGAGTTTTAGAAAGAGGGATGCGTAATGTAGTCACTGCATCGTCCAAATGTTCATCAATTAATGCTTGATACATGGTTACCACGGCAAAATGCAGCCCTGGTTTAATTTTCTGTTATTATGTGCGCCATGCTAGTTAAACGCCAAGTCATAATCAAAACGTTAACATATGCAGGTTTGTCGCACTGGCATAAGAAAAATCGACTGAAAGCTATAGTGCAGAATATATTGCATTGTGCACGTCCCTCTAGCAAGTACAAGTATAGGGATTGTACTGGCTATTTGATATGCAGGGTTTACCCACTGAATTGACGAGGTCCCTTCTGTACCTCTTGTCGACTGAAACTTTGATCGCCCATGAAGCTAGGGTTTTATACAGAATAGCACTAGCCCCCAGATCCCAGCCAATTACGATAATTCCCCAAGTATATACCCAAGTCACAGGTTCAATCAAAACTCAGACAATCAGGACAAGCAAGCAATCAGGACACCTTGGAGAAACTTGCCCCGAATATTTTCCTCCCTTTACTTCCCTCTCCTCTTACCAACATAAAGCCCACCATATCGGGCTGATTAGACACAGCACACACACATGCAGAGCGGTTTTTCAACAAGAGAATATTCACAACAGGCTACGTTCTGCGCCTATGAACAATTAGTGCTAGGATTTTAGACACGCGCAAAAGAGCTCTGAATGCCGTCGGCATGCAACGACACGTACGCGTACAACAAAGAGCACCGGACTTTTCAGGGAACATGTAGCCTTCTCTACGACCCAGGAGAGTGCTTTAGGAGGTAGAAACGAGGGCATAGTACAGATCACACGCGCCGGGCAGAGCGAGATACGCAGCGCTACAGCTCCCCCCTCACCTACGAAACGTCCAATAGGGAATGGTTACACCGCACGGTACGCGAGCTTCTCCGTCCACACTAGACCCACGGATCGATGATATCTCTTCAGAACAAGCGGGCGGGGGTCAAACGCTGACCGGTCGTGTGGTAGCCATTTTCACGCTCGCCTAAAAGGGGCGTTTACCGCGCATGCGCAGTTGGCGGGTATTGTTTATTGTATACTCGACCGCAGGAATGCAATAATTCCAGCGAATGTTCGGATTCTGTTTACGGATGATCTTCTATTTGTACACAAACACTGACATCACATTTAAACACAATGTCAGCAAGTGTCTGGTTTAAAAAAAAGAGGTGCATAAACACACAAATTACACATCTCCAAATGATGATGATGATGACTAGAGGTCAATTCCCATGCCGCACATTCTAGCGGCGACCAAATCATCCGCAATATCTCTCCTCTGGATTATCTCCAAGGCACCGAGGAGGGCGAAGAACGTGGCGTTCTGTTTGTACAGCGTCTTCCACTCCTCCATCATCTTCCTCGCCGCGGAGACCTGGGTCTTGGACACCATGGCGATCCGCTCCAGCTCCGTGCGACTGAAGCCGAGCGCCTGACCGAGGACAGGCCAGGTTGCATTGAGCTGCACGCACACCACCTCAATGTCCTCCGTCGTAATGTAGTCTGTGGAGGGAATTTTGTAGATTGATGTATAGAAAATGAGGCAGTACTGTATAATTAGGACCTGTTGAGATTATTTTTCTGGGCCCAACTGTTTATTTCCATCTTTTGGTGACGTATCTAGATTTAGTCCTGGTGTATTATCATACACTCCCTTTAAAATCTATATGTGGTTCAACTGGTATTGCGTTTATGGTGATGGTGAGGCTGATGCAATGGATTTTTGACGCGGGGGTAAAGAAAGTACTGGTGCTCTTCAGTTTCTACGTGACGCTGCGGTGTGCGGGTGGCGTGTCAAGTCTGTGTGTGGGAGGTTCCACGACTCTATTCTGTCTCCACACACATGACGAGCTAGTTACACAAGCCTAAAATGTTAGCTGCAATTACCTGTAGTACCATTCAGCCCTAATGAGCAGAGTTCATCGTTTTTCTCTCACTATGTATGCGAAAACTACGAGGTATGTAGAAAGGCAAAGGCACAACAAACAATTCGACTACCCCCTGGACAGCTCTTTTTTTCCAAGGACGTATGTCTCACCTGTACTGTTCTCTTCGGGAGAGTGAGGATGAGGAATCTCGCCAAACCACGAGTACAGGGACACGCTAATCAGCACCTGCGTCCCTCTCTCGCAGTTGAGCGACACTCGCTGTAGAATGTTGTCGCTCTGACTCAGCACCATGTGGTGAACCCCTTCCCCTTCCTCCTCCCCCTCTCCGTTGGGTGGCTTACTGGAACACATGCACTCCACGCACAGATCGTATTCGATTTGAGGTAGCCACTGTTGGATGATGTCGCTTATTGCTGTCTGGAGGAACATTTGTACCGCCATGCACGTGTCCAGGTTAGCCGGCTCCGGTAGACGAACTGCATCGTCTAGATTAACAGGGGCGAACCCGCGAGGGGAAGTGGAGGCAGAACTGCGACTCTGGTACAGGTTGACAGTGATTCGACCTTTTGATTCGGAGATGAGGAGAAGAGTTGAGGTGTCGACCTCAAATAGAGCGGCGTTGCTGTAGAGGGTGTAGTTGGTGGGGTAGGAGTGGACGCAACGAGTCAGGAGTCGCGGAAACACGTCGTACGGTACAAACCCCTCCTTGAAGCGGAAATGAAGAGGTTGAAGGTCGAAAGTCGGCATCTGGAGGAGATGAAGAGGCATGGGCTCTGTGACGACAGAGGGAACCACAAGCGACGAAACTGAGAAGACGTGATCGGCCGAAGAAGGTCTCGCGCTGCCGGGAGCCACGTTGTGAGAGTGTTGGTCCACCCCTCCAACCCCACCTTGCCCGATATCCTGGGCGATGGAAGAGGGAGACGCCGAGGGAGAGATGGGGTGGGTGTTGGGACCAAGACAGCACACCAGATCCATCTTGTGCAGGATGGCGAGGAGTCGACGGCGGTTCGCGGAGCTCTCTCCCTTCCACACGTGGTCCAGGAGCTGGGCAGAGAGGATTCCGCGCATCTGGAGCCTGTTCTGATCGCTCTGCAGTCGCGCCGCCGCGGCCCCCGAAGACACGTCGACCCAGGCCGCTCCGAACACCCCGCTGAGCTGCCGGGCGAACCACACGGAGGACGTGAAGACGAGCTCGCACAGATGGTGCACGGGGGCAAAGTGGAGAATCACCTGGTTGTTGTGAAGAAAACGAACAATTGCGTCTACTTCGTCGGTGCCGGCGACATCACACGTCTCCGACACAATCTTCTTGGCGTCTTGCAGCGTGATGAAATGGACTCCTCTCTCAGACAGCGAGAGGAAGCGGCGGATGCAACGAAGCCATTTCAGCGGGACTTGCTGTCGACACGATTTCTTTGTGATCTCGATGATGTAGCGCTTCAGATCCTCCATGTTTGAACGCTCGATGACCGACGAGCTGCTGAGGACGTACTTCATCATTGCCACGTACTTGTGGTAGGGCGAATTCTTGATGGCCGTGCGGAGCTGGTCGAAGTTTGTGTGGGAGATGGAAGACGGTACCTTGTCGGAGTGGGTTGCCACGAGAATCACACGTTGGCCTCGCAGTGACATGTCGGCGTCCGAGTGCGACCAGTGGAGCCCGAGATTATTGAAATCTGCCATGATCTGCTCGAAATGGCTCTCCTCCATGCAATCATCGGGGCTGCCCCCACCGTTTACAACGCGTGACGCGGCCTCGGCTCGTACCAAGGGGATAGACGTCTTCCGGTGTACCCGTGGAGATATTCTCGTGTCCAGGCTCTTTGATGTGTCGTAGACCAGGACGCAGAGCGAGTGGTCGGTCACAAACAGCGAGCGAACGGCGCGGAAGGCCTTGGCTCCCGGTACGTCGATGAACCGGCTGAAAAACTGGACGGGGAGGGTACTGTTGGTGCAGTCTCTCATCCCGACACGAATCTTCTCCAGAAGTCTTTCAGGAATGGAGGACACCTTGACTGGAGGAGGTGCTTTAATTGGAGGTGGAACTCCAGCGATGGGACCGTTGAGGCTGGACAAAGGCTGTAAACCAGTGAAATGGGTGCTGCGTACAGAGTCAGAATTATGCCTGCGGAGCGCTGATTTCCCTCCCCTCCCTTTCCCCGTGAAGAGCCGCGACATGAACCCCTTTCGGTGACCCCCGCTCCCGCTGCTGCCATGGCGATGACCTACGGGGGCCGTCTCCCTCTCGGCATCGAGGTCACTCCGATACCCCAACTGAAGCTTTCCCTCCGGAGTCTCAGACCCCAACACCTCGAAACTCCCCGACAGACGGTAGGTGGCTTTCACAGACTCGAGATCCGGGTTCCAGAACTTGTCAGTGAAGCTTTGCGAGCGACGCCTGGTCACCGGCGGTAGCGGCGGAGGGACGTCTTTCATTCCCATTCCATCCACCGTCTCAGACCCAAACCTGGTTCCGGCGTCGCCCGAGCCGGCGGCGGGCGTAGTGCAGAACGACGCTGGATCCGGGACGACGCCGTCGCTAGACTCTTCACGTGTTTGAGAAGATCGTCGACGATGATTCGCACCAGTTCCTCCTCGTACACGAGAGCGGCCGAGGATGGCGACCAATCAGGTGGTCTCGACAGGTGAAATAGAGTCGTGGGCGAATCCCCGCTGAGAGGGTGTGGGGTTCCGTGAGGCGAAACGACTTTCCCTGGATGTTGCGCAGGAGGCTCGTCTTCCCCGAACCGAGGGGACCGAGGAAGGTGAGGTTGCTGACAAACATGTTTGCCTTGCGAGAGAGGGGAGCGTCGCGGTACGCCTGCTCGGCTGCAGCAGTCAATAGCAGCTCTTCAACTGCAGACTGACGAGGAAAGAGAGAGAGAGATGAGAGACGAAGGACGTATGTAAAACGCAATTCTCAGCATTGCTAAGATATGGACACAGGCGGTTGGTCTAAGCGCGCCCGAAAATTGGTTTGCTCGTCCGTCCGACTGAAGTATTGTGCCACACCTACTTTTGTAAATCTGAACCCATTATTATGACTTACTCTGTGGAAGTGTCATCATTTTCCTGAGGGCGCAGCGGGCTGGCATGGGGAGTGATTGATTCACCTGCAGTCATATACACACAGCAGTTCTTTACTCAGCTGAAAAACCAGCAGATCACAGCAAATATGTTAGTAGAGGTTCAAGCAGCATTATGTCACTTGAGAGTACGGTAGTGTACAGAGCTGGCTGAAGTAGAGCTGGCTGAAGTAGAGCTGGCTGAAGTAGAGCGCACACACCATCCATCTTTCCCTCCTACTTTCCTCTCCATGCCAATTCAAACCTCACTTACAGTTTAGTCCCACAACCTTTCACTTCCCCCCATCTCTCCTTCTTCCTTCCTCTCTCTTTTCCCCTCTCTAGCTTGTCATTTCTCTTTCTCCTATCTCTTCTCTTCCTTTTTCCTACACCTTTACTTCTCTCTCTCTCTCTCTCTCTCTGTTCCCCCTTCTCTCTCTCCACTCACCAAAGTTCTTGGCCAACAGCTGTTCCAACACTGTAAACGAGGTCTCTCTCCCTTGGCTCCATCAGCCAGCATCTCTCCATTATCTCATAGACGCCCTGCAATGTAGAGGACAGTAACCAAGCCATCCACATGTGTGCAAATCATGTGGCGTGCTAATCTCTTCATTATCACATAGACACCTTCAGGCTAAAACTTATGTGCAGGAAAATGGTTTTTAGGTGGAGCTAAAATCACGGCACCTTGCTCAAGTGTAGAGGGATTGAAAGAGATAAAGAGAGGAGATGGGAGCAGGACGGAGGGGGAGAGAGAGAGAGAGAGAGAGAGAGAGAGAGATAAATACGAACCGGGGGGCAGTTATCTGGAGGGTCCATTACATAGCCATCTTCAATCTGCTCCAGGACATCATCCACAGCCTGTGTGTACCGAACACACAACCAGTTGAAACACACATCCACAACACACACAGCTCTTAACCATGCCTTTAATTTCCCTATTCCCTTTTCAATTCATACAGAATATGGTGCAACCCTGCTCCAGTTGAAACACACATGCACAACACACACAGCTCTTAACCATGCCTTTCCCTACAGAATATGGTGCAACCCTGCTCCAGTTGAAACACACATGCACAACACACACAGCTCTTAACCATGCCTTTCCCTACAGAATATGGTGCAACCCTGCTCCAGTTGAAACACACATGCACAACACACACAGCTCTTAACCAGCGCCTTTTCCCTACAGAATATGGTGCACACCCTGCTCAGTTGATCCCACAATTGGACAAGAAGGCCTCGTTAGTAGGAGGTCCACTCTTTTCTTTTAGTCTCTTTATTTATTTTAGTTACAGGGGTGGGGTTCTGCATAATACGCAACAACTGTTCTGAGGAAAGAAAGAGTGTCCTCGTTTCAGGGGTGTCCTTCGAGAGGAGTTCCACTTTACACACGTACATATACACTCCACCCATAGCTTTAGACAGGGTGTGTCTGTCATTCAATCGCGGTGAATGTAGTGAGCTCTCACAATGGAAGGGTAGGGCACTCGGCCGTAGGAAAACGCCTCCCAGAGAAAGATGCCGAAACTCCACACGTCCGACTTGCTCGAGAATCTCTGAAACACGAGAGAAGAGAGAGGGAGGGACAGGGAGAACATGAGACCAACCATCTTGATATCGCACGCCACCAATATAAAACCCACGAAAAATTGGGTGAATATCTAAATTCAACCTCCGAATATCACAGAATGGGCAGAGTACTCTGCTACAGCTCGGTGCAGAACATTTTGGTTGTACGTGGCGTATGTGCTTCAAACACAGTCAGAAATCAGAGGTGATTGGTAAATGTCTAGCTCCTATAGAGCCTAATAGAGACCACGGGAACGTGCAAAAATGAAAGTGTGACTTACGCTGTCTTTCAGGGCCTCGGGAGCGGTCCACTTGATGGGGAACTTGCCTCCCTCGTGAGGTACGTGTATGTCTGTACGTTGAGCCATGCCAAAGTCGGAAATCTGAGACAGGGAAAGAGGGTAGACACACATTGGGTGTGCAAGTTAACGGATGAAAGTTCCACAAATTTGGACAAAAAAGAGCTGAAACATATTTGAAGCATATTATTATATTTAAGACCTTTAACTTAGTATGTATGGCATCAAAGAAAAAGCACAATTATACAGTGAGAAAGAGAAATATAATCCTTGTTACTTCATATCAAAATTTTGGTCTTATATGATGCACCAACCACCTATATATATAATGTAGATATGTATTAACCGGCGTTTGTATAATGTACCTTAGCCTGTCCGTTGCTGTTGAGTAGGACGTTTCTGGCTGCCAGATCTCTGTGCACAAATCTCTGTGCCGATATGTAGCTCATGCCAGCACACACACCTCTGCATGGATACAGTCATAGGGAGGGGGTGTGTGTGGGGATGGTTGGGGTTAAATTTACCTGCAAAAGCCAAGAAGCTCTGCTTGTGACACAACCGATCGACCTCTGGAAATGAGATACTTCTGTAGCGAGCCCTGAAGAGAGAGAGTGAGAGGGGAGGAGGGGGAGAGAAAAGAGAGAGTGAGAGGGGAGGAGGGGGAGAGAAAAGAGAGAGTTATAGGTGAGTTTGTAGGATAGACCACAGATCTACAAACACTATAAAATATATGGTAGGGTTCCAGCATGCAATATTTTTTCTCCACACAAACATGAAAAATGTTTTTAATGCAACTGTAATTTCTGCAAACCTGAATGCATCTTGCAAAATACTAAAAACGCTCGCCCTACAACAATACAGTATTGTATTACATACCTTCCCCATGACTTCCATGACGATGCACTTGAGAGTCGAACCCTTCAAAACCAGTCCAACCAGTTGAACCAGGTTCTTGTGGTGCATGTGACTACGGGCAGAGGGTTCAAAGGTCACGACACTAGCCACACCCCCCGTAACGGGCTTCGGCGGACGACTTACGTCATGACAGCTGCTTCTCTCAGGAGAGCAGTGACGGCAACTCCACTCCTCTTCTCGTCGTGAATCCTCTTCACGGCCACCTACGTATTATATACAATACCATTGTGTGAACTTTTTATTGGTTACATTATACACACAGATAACAGTTTTAAAGCGCAAAGTATTGATTAAAGTGCATAAAGACACACCACTCTGGTGTGGGTGTCACTAGATAGCTGACATAGGCTCTAAAGGTTGTTTGTTGTTAGTGACGTGGAAAGTGAAAGTTGGTGGATCACCTGCATCCCTTTGTATGTGCCAGTGAGGACTTCGCCAAATTCCCCTTTCCCTATTGACGTTCCAAGAGTGAGATGAGACTCACTAAGACCCCACTCTGGAGGAGAGAGAGAGAGAGAGAGAGAGTGTGTGTGTGTGTGTGAAAATGGAACCTAATTGCATTCTTGCACTGGGCTATAAAGCTCTATCTTTCGTAACATTTCTAAATGTAGCCCTAGTGTACTGACACCCCCATAAGCTCACTGTGTTTCAAAGTCTCAGTGTCGACGTAATATTCCAGGGCACCGCGTCTAATCCGAGGTACACGTAGACATGTCCCCAGATCCTCATCATTTCTCATGTAATACTGCAGTAAACAACAACAACAGAACACTGCAGTAAACAACAACAACAACAACAACAGAATACTGCAGTAAAACACAACAACAGACTACTGCAGTAAACAACAACAAACCAAAAGACATATAAACCTGTTTATGTCACCAACATTATTATGAGGGAGCGCAGGTCACATGACTATCATGTGGGTATCAGGTGACTCACGTTGACTAGCTCGAGAAGAGTTGGGAAGTAAAGTTTGCCAGAGATGGTCAGTTTTCGTGTTGAGAAGTCCATCGCTATCAGATAGTGACTGACTGCCCCTTTGTGCCTGTATAAATGTAATACAGTACATACATAGATCAACTGTGCTATAACGTGCGGGGATAAAAAATTTGTTTAGTAGTGAGAATGAATGTGCTTGCCACACGAAAAATAATATGTGGAGAATATGTGAAGCATAGGAGAGAGGGGGAGAGGGAGGATGTCCAAGGAGGGGGTTAAAGAAGAAAGGAGGGAGTAAGGAAAGAGAGAGGAGAGAGAGGAGAGAGAGGAGGAGGAGGGACGAGAGAATGAGAAGAAACAGCGTACATGGGTAGGAAAGAGAATAGAGAGAGTAGATGGGAGAGAGGACAAGGAAGAAGAGACGTACGAGACGGCCAAGGCCTAGATTCCTTCTGTGGCTCTGACTCGTCCTCATCAGAAACTGGCCGTCTTGGTTCCTGTCCAATATCTTCTCAGCCTCAAACCTACACACACAGAGACACAAGAAAGTGTCCATATCAGTGAGGTCATATACAGCATGTTCTCGGGGAAAGGAAAGGTGTCCTCGTTAGACTGTGTTCTTCATTCAGGAAGTGTCCTAAGAGAAGGTTCCCCTGATCTAGTGTACCTGTGACTTGGTCCGTGGAACCAGGCATGGGTTGTAGCACCACTCCCTCTCCGGGTCCGTTCCAGGATTGAGACATGGAACGAGTCCCACAGCTGCCGTCTGCCGCAGTCGCTTGACAGTAATCCTGGAGTGAGAGATCGGTGGGAGAGAGAGAGAGAGAAATAGTGATTGATGAACAGCTAGTAGTACATGGGAGTGTGTCTGCACTTGCATGCTAAAGTCTTTCCTATGACAGAGGGTCAATTGATTTGATATACAGAGAGAGAAAAAAATAGTGTTCCCACTCCAAATCTGGATCGATGTACAGCTAGTACGTTGAAAAAAATTATTATGTCTACTCTTGATGCATGCTCAAGTCACAGAGCGGTCAATTATTGGATTGGGTTAAGTCGCATCATCAATTCAGCTGGCTAGGCCTATCACAAGGGCCCCCAAATATAAAACTCCAACGAAAACAAGTTCCTAATGCCAATCATGCCCATTAATCAATGTATGCACACAGTAATAGGTCATCTTGGACCCCCGCCCATTCACACACCACACATCACAAGTCAGATCCATACTACTATAGCTGGAAATACTTGCGCACATTAAATTTTGATTATTTATAAATGTGGTGGTAATCGCATGTACCTACGTACGTAGCACCTTACTGCACTTAGCCGCCAAAACTTTGCGTGCGATTCCAAAATCCCAGTTCCACGATAATACCAATATCGTGGTCTGTTTTCAATTGCCAAAAAACCAGTGTTTGTGGGAGGGTGAGCATGACCAATGTGTGTTTACAGTGTCACTGGAAACCAACTTTCATTTTCACTAAAAAAACTTTCAGGTTTTCACAGTTTAGCAGAGTGATATCTACCTGGCCTCAGGCCAGTCGTATAATTTTAAATTAGTCTCAGATAGAAATTTTATACTGCTGTTGTTGCCTTAGAACTTCTGGAGATGGTGGCATTTAAAACTCGCACGTTGAGAACAGCTGTTTACTGGGCAGTCCGCTAAAATGGCAAACTCAACCATTTGTCTTCCTAACGCTGTCTGCAACCACCCTCCACGGAATACTTAAGCTAGTCCATACAGTACCTGTGGTCAGTGCGCTGAAGCAATGTCCTCGGTTTCACACACCCACATATTGCAGGGGAAGGTACAAACACAGATGCCTGTTATTATCAGCTGACTGTACATGCAGAACACCACTTACATCAGGGTTGTAGATTCTGTTAACTGATAGGAACTTCCCTGTCAGTAAACACGATGTTTGTAGGTCCAAGCTAGCCTATAGCCCTAGCTGTATATAAATTAGTGGCTATTTACACATACATATGGGTACAAGACAAAGTACATACAATCAGTAATACTGTAGAATGCTGTCCTTGTATTATCGTAATTTAGGTTCAAACCTTTGAATTTTGAATAATTGCTATTCAAATCTTACAAGCATCGTACACACACTACATTACAAGTGTCGTTCAAAGCGACAACCCCTAGCTAGCTCACCCTGAGGGCTCATCAATTAGAGTCACCACATCTCCTTTCTCACACTGTAGCTCCTGAAATGGAAAGAGAGAGAGAATCAAAAATCACATCAGACCACCTTTTAAGGATACTCTATTATTATAGGACACCTCTCTATAAAGGACCTGTTTAGCTACTAATTAAGCATGTCAGTGCCACAGAGGAATTAATGGGCACTCTGAAATAATATAGGACACCTTGGCCAACACTCAGTGGTTGCAACGTGCTATACACTTCATCTAGAGGTTCCCCACAGGTTAGAGGAAAACTCACAATTATCTTGTATATACACTCTAGTAAAGAATACATAACTAACATTATACTTCGATCATCATGTTGTTAACTGTGTCTCTAACACAAACATCCTGGGGTTATTCAATGCTGCTACCGGCGCAAATTCTGTGGGTGTGTCAGCAACCGACCATCAGATTACGGATTATGCACTCACTATGACATCACTGCCTGAGATCGCTCAATACCATTGAAAGGTCTACACATTCAGAACGATGGTTGTGTAGAGAAGTTACTGGTAAAGGAAAACATCAACGTTGTGCGTGGTAAGCTGTGTGTATTTGACAGTGTTTTCACTACGGTAAGGCTGTTCCCTTTCAGTAAAAGCATAAGTAGAGAGTACAAATACCACCACCCAGGGGTGCCTAATATGTAGCACAATAAACACAATTCATACTTGGTTTCTAGCGCAGGCTATTTTGACGTTCTGAACACATGATTTAACAATATACATACAAAGAGAATGCAGAGCATTATGGCATACACGTGGAAAGTGAGAATAAGTATAAGAGTTTGTCAAGAAAAACTCACATTTTGTTTGTGTGAGGTGTGAACTGTGAGCGGCAATGCATAGCGTCCCATGGCGACATTCTCTTGCAGCGTTCCTGCATTAAACACAAACTCTCCATGTTATGGTAGCTTAGGGACGGGCAGAATAGAACATGTGGGGGCTATGATTATGTCATAATTTGACTACCAGATGAGCCTACAAGCCATCAGCACTCTCTACCTACACTCTAGTTTCTCATCTCTTATTTCTGTGTAGTTTCCGTGCAGCAGCTGATTGATAGTACGGACGAGGCTCAGAACATACGCAAACCCACTGATTCCATTGCCATAGCTACAAGAGCATCGGGCTAATAACTCCAATGTACACGAACATGCAGACCTTGTATATCTATTACACTACCAGCCCACACAATGAGACAGCAGCAATGAGAACTGGGTTCATATATATATATATATATAACTGCTCGGTTAACATTACACACCATGCAGACCCTTGTATATCTATTACACTACCAGCCCACACAATGAGACAGTAGCAATAAGACTGGGTTCATTATATATATATATAACTGCTCAGTATATTCCAACACATGAGACAGTACAGAGAAACTGGGTTCATATATATATCTATATAACTCCGTATACTATACACCCTGCAGACCAATATAATGGATAGGTAACTCGACTGCAGGTGGTGATTCGATCGCAATATATTCGTATTGTGAAAAAACTTCGAGGAAGAGTTTATATATAGTCGTTTGTGAAAATTTGTAGGCCCGGGGGGTGACATTTGGATGGAGGAGACTAGTTAAAGTTTTTGGCCAACCATTAGCCTTCTCTCCTTTCTCATCGCTCCTCTCCTCCTTCTATCGCTCCCCTCTCTCCTTCTATCGCTCCTCTCCTCCTTCTATCGCTCTCTCCTCCTTCTATCGCTCCCTCTCCTCCTTCTATCGCTTCCTCCTCCTCCTCTTTCTATCTGATTCCTCCCTCTCCTCCTCTGCTATCGCTCCTCTCCTCTTTCTATCGCTCCCTCTTCCTCCTTCTATCGCCTCCCTCTCCTCCTTCTTTATCGCTCATAATGGTTTCGTGAAAGTGAGAAGCACCATGTTTTGTACGTTCCTTAGAACCAGGAAACGCAGTGATTACAGTACACTTGTGTTGTACACTTGGTTGTACACTTGGTTGTACACTTGGTTGTACACTTGGTTGTACACTTGGTTGTACAACCTTGGTTGTATATATACTTGGTTGTATATATACTTGGTTGTACCCTTGGTTGTATATATACTTGGTTGTATACATACTTGGTTGTACACTTGGTTGTACTACTTGGTTGTACACTTGGTTGTACACTGGGATATACTTGGTTGTACACTTGGTTGTATATACCAGCTTGGTTGTAAAACAAGGAACCCACAGAAGCCTATGACATCACACAAGGCCTGTCTTCAGTAGAGAATGTTTGCAAAGGCCCAAAAACTTGTCGTAAGGCATCCACTTAAAAATCAATTTGTTAAAGGAACACATAATTACAGGTGGTGTCCACATACAAACTCTAGCATGCTTTTACCACGCACCATACCTAGAACAAAGGGGTTGAGACAATATACCGAGAAACAAGGGTTAAGACAATATACTAGAAACAAAGGGTTAAGACAAATATACTAGAACACAAGGGTTAAACAAATATCCTAGAACAAGGGGTAAACAAAAAGAGAAAGAGAAAAACAGGAGTATATACAGTGAGGCAAAGGAGGATTTTAGCCAAAGATGGCTTGACAAGCTGGCCTTGGTCTAAAGAGTTTTTCTTTCACGTTGAATGAGGTGGTTTGGCTTAGTTAGCTTGCCTAGAAACGTACGTGCATATATACTAGTGCATATTATGTATGAAGTCCAAAAGGAGAGACACAGCTATTTAACAGCACAATTCCCCACCATGTAGTACACACAAGCGTAATGTATGTATCATTTATATAACTTTGCAAAGCAGGAAACTTTTTCCTGATGGAGAGTGAGGCACACAGTACGTTTCCTGGTGCAGGCCTAGAAGGCCCCTATGTGTGCTGTTGCATGGTGTCCAGTGCTGAACGGTAATATGGGTGTATGTGGATGGTATAATCGAGCCTGTCATCCAGGCCCAAACCCTGAGTATCAGATCAGCTGTGTGCTGTTGCGTGAAGGTCCAAGACAGAATGCGCCAGCATCTGGCCCCGCCCAGTCACACACACACGCCAAGCACCTACACACGCCAACTTACGCTGCAACACGCAATCCACACGAACACACACCACTTCTTGCAGCTAGTTCGGAGATGACATTTGAGGACATTTTTTCATTTTCAAGGGACCCCACATGCCACACAAAGAGCTCCGTTCCCCTGTCAAATCCCCACCCCTGAGACGCTAATGTGGGGCTAACGCGAGACAAATATCTCACAGCACCCAACTTCAGTCGCCTCTTTCCCGTCCGTTCCATCACTCATTTGATATATACCGTCACACAACCCGCAGGTGTTGAGGTGTAGCTATACTATACTCACAGAATGGTCGAGCTCCCAGCAGCCACGGCGCGGTAAAGGAGACGACGGTGCAGAGAGTCCAGCAGCTGGATCACGAACCGCGCAAGAATTCCGACTTTCCTTCCCGGCCTACGCGCTCCTCTAAGCCTCGACTAGAGAACTCGCAGACGTGGAGGCTGCAGGCTACACGGCGTGGTGGTGGAACTTTGGGTGTAACGGCCTGGCTGCAACGGAATGCTTTTATGTACGTGTGTACTGTGTGTGCGCACGCATGGGCGGGGTGCCACGCCCACCTTTCGTCCGCGGCACGAGAAAAGCAGAGACAAGGAGCGTGAGAAAGGAGAGCTATGGCAGAAGGAGGGAAAGCCAACGTGAACCTAGATCGGCAGAACACGGAGGACTCAGCCGATCTTCCTCTAAAAATCCCCGTACGTAAGCGCGAGAAACCCAGGTCATCCTAGATGTCTGTACACATATCCAGGTTTCCTCCGTGTACGAGCATTTCCAGTGCCCTATATGCATGTCGACGCTGAGCGATCCGTCGGTGACAAAGTGCGGCCACCGATTCTGCCACAAGTGCATAGAAGAGTGCATAAATCGCCGTCACGAGTGCCCGTGCTGCAAGACGGCGCTAAATAGGGATGACGTCATCGTCGATCATTCCTTTGCAGCTCTGATGAGTGAGCCCGCAATCTGATTGGGTGGCCAATCTGCTCCCTTGAGGCCTCATTGTTTGTTAATTGCAGGGAGTGTTCGAGACGAGAGAAGAAAAGCAGAGCGAGAATACTATCAACAACTGGTTGATGCAGGTATAATGTATAGCTACTCAGCTGTAATACTGCGATGAACTTCTCCTAACTGCTGGTCCATTTCTCACACTCACATGTGTCCTCAAAATTCAGATGATTTTTATGAGAGAATTCTCTCTTTATTCTAGCAACTGATGCTCCATTTGGTGGCACAACAGATGGATCGCGTGTAGTCGAGTCACCTCTTGAATCTATCCTTAGAAGTACGTGAACATAGCTATAATTACAATGTACTGATTGTAGCTCAATAGTAATAACTCGATATACAGTAGCTCTTAGTATAAGTCGCGTTTAGCAATGATGATAGATTTTGTTCCAACAGAGCACCTGAAGCATACTCTAAAACTGCACGAGACATTTCACCAGGTGAGTTATACATAATATAGTGACACTGTAGCTAAAGAATACTCAACCCTCAGCTACATATATGGAATGATATAACATTAATAATATGGAGAAAGTCAATGTCTGGTGCGGCTTATATTCAGTGTGCCGTGACGATGAATGGGGCATTGTCTTCTGACGGGGCACATGCTAAAACAATTTTGACTACAGACTAAGTGCCTCGCACAATATACGGCTAGGAATTGAGCCAACAAGCAAAGCGATTTCAAGTGTGTATACACTTAAGATCGTATTATTTGCTAGTGAAAATGTTGATAAAAAACTGATACTCCCATAATGAGCTGTAAAAACCCGGTATATACAGAGTAGCTCATTACAGTTCTTTCTAACAAGTATGAAAGTGTAACGAGGGCAATCACGTATGAGTGCAGAAGAATGCTGCCTGCATATCTATGTGCGTGTGGTGTACTCTTTCCATCCATGACTTGACTGCAGCAAGTGATAGTAGACTACCAGAGAGCGTTGGGGAAAATAGCTCTCAGAGAAACAGCTGCTCACTGAGAAAACGATGAGGAACTTCCCCCACGACCCTGACCACCCAGGTACGTTGCCATGGATTACAGTAGGGACCCCCTCTAATCCCGACACTAATTGGATGGAAGAACATGTCCATATCAGTGAGGTGTCATTATTTCAGTTGTTAGCAAAGAACTGTTGGAAAAGGTGTCCTCATTTCAGGTGGCGTCCCTCAGAGAATGGCTCCACACTGTAAGGTGTCCTCATTTCCGAGTGTCCTCAGATAAAAGTTCCACTTTAAAGGTGTCCTTATTGGAGAGGTCCTCATAGCATGGGTGTATACACTAAAAGCACCCTGTAGTTAGCAGTTGAACCCTCCCCTCCACCTCAGAGAGGCTCTCACAGCTGGTTGAGATAGAGATGAAGGGAGAGGAGAAGAAGGAGATGTTGGCCAAGGAACTGGAGAAGACGGAACAACTGCTCACCTCCACCTATGACAGGCAGGCATAATGCAGTACAGTGGGTAAAGCTTCCCCACTTTCTACGTTTGTCTCAAGTCATCAGTACTCAGAAACCTTGTAACCTCCTGGTACTGATGAAATGAAAAGCACTAAAGTGCAAACCCTCGGCACACTGTGGAACCCATACACAAGTGTGGCACCACCACAATTGATGGTCTTGACCATGCATCAAAAAGAACAGCATGGAAAAATGGCCAGCCCCATGTGTTCCATGTGTTTGAGGCCCAAAAAATATATAAGGTTGAAAAAATGCCAACCTTTCATCTCTCTATTAATTTTCGTATTACCTGTGGATTTTTTTGTGCAAAAAAAAACAACCTAAGGTTGAGGAAAAAATTAAAAAAACGCCCAGCCCTTCATCTCTCCAGACAGACGTCTACGGACGCAGTGCTATGCCGAACTGTACGCTGCCCTTTGAGAAACATGGTTCAGTGGTAGATTTGTGGGTAAGGGGAGGAACCAGAGCTGTTCCCAGCCAATGCTCTGGACCACCTGACATTTTAGTGCGGGTTCGAATCCTCGAACCGGGCACCTATGGTGTCAGTCCCCACGACTCTAACCACTCGGACTGGCCTGGAGAGGTGATGAAAAAACGTTCCATTTATACCACCAACAGCCAACACTCCTATTACATCATTGTAAAAAAGGCGCACACCCCCGCCCGGGATCGAACCAGGATCGAACCAGGACCTCACGATCAAGAGAGGGGGTGCTTATCCATCAGACCTCCACCACTACTTGAATGGGAACAGTGTAGAAAAGCACTAAAGTGCAAACCCTCGGCGAAGTAGCTCGCAGAGAGTCTGACACGGGCTAGCTACAGTAGTAGATAGCACGCGAGAGTCGATACACGCCATTCTCTTGTGCCTTCAAGATAGACAGAGCAAGCGGACCCGCGCGGCGCGGTCGTGCTAAATATAGGTAAGCGCATGCGCATTATCCGCCAGCGATAAAATGGCGACTAGCCATACAATGCTCTAGCTCTGCAACGGATCATTTTCAGAGAAAACCCCCCATATTTTCTGACCCTCTTCGCCCGTTGGGTAGATGGTATCGTTTCTGGGACGAACAGACACCCGAGAAGTGAGATGTAGAGTAACAGACACACAGACAGACAGACAGACAGACAGTATATACAGAGACAAACCCAACTACAGTACCCTCGCTGCGCATGCGCGCCGAGGGTAAAATACTATAATGTACAAATATGCCATTGGCTTCCAAGTCTATTGGTGTATAATGCGTCTGTTGTTCCTACAGATACCTCACTGAGTACTTGCCCTCTCCGTCCACCATTCCAGTCACGGTCTCTCTCTCGGTCCCCGAGCGCCAATTTCTGGCCCCCGAGGTCATCCTGCGCCCCGAAGACAGCATGGCTGCTGTGTTGAAGAAGCTGCGGTCGGCCATGGAAGAGTCGGGCATGGCCATAGCTGAGTTTCCTCCGTGTGAGGAGTTTGCCGTCTCCATCATCAAGTTAGCACTAACTAACCTTGGTGGTCAGATTAGCCACCGTTCCCTCGCCATTTCCAGTCCGTTTGCTCGTACTAACGAGGGAGGTGTGGCCGACGAGTCCCAGGTGGGTGGAGCTAACAGTGGTAACCATGACGACGAGAGAGCATCGGGTGGGATCAAAGGTCAGATGAACATACTGGATCAGGTGCTACACGCAGACTGCAAACCACTGTTAGAATTCTGTCTGGTGAGTATTGAGTTTCATTTGTTTTGAGAGCTAAAAGAAACATGTATGTCTCAGTCTGCGAAAGCAACCATCGCTATATCACATTGGTGTAGTCACTATTAAATTTTCTCAGCACCTGAAACGTCTGATGCTAAATGTTTCCTGCAGAAACCAGGCACAGAGCTGAGATTCAAGGGAGCCATCGTTCTTGTGGGGTAAGGGGAGGGGAGAGGGAAGGAGTGGAGTTTATTCATACTCCTCATACATACATACCACCTTTTTCGAGTTCAGAGTTGAAAAAGGCTGTAGGTCGAAATTGCGTGTTCCGTAGTAATATTTTCTCTACCAGCTAAAATATAGCGTGGAGTCTCGATGGAATGAATTGCTGGGGACCTAAAGAACTTGTTCACAGCAAGTGTTCTATAGTGCTAGGCTCCGAGGGTGTGTTTGTAGTATCCATAATTTTGTACTAAGTGTGTTCTTTATAATGAGATTCCACTGTACTTTATAGAAACTCCTCCTATTATTATATACACAGAGAGACTCCTCTGCAGTGTTTTGCTGCCACTTTTGTCAAGGGACAGACAGCTCGCGGCATAGACTACTTCACCTGCAGAGACTGCGGATTCAACTGTGAGTGGGAGTGAGTTTAGAGGAGTGTTATGATGGAAGGGTTTTCCCTCTCTGTCAGGGGTGTGCCAGCCGTGTGCTGAAATCTGTCACAAGGGCCACTCGCTCGTGTCGTATCTCCGAAATCATAAGCCCACGTGGTTAGCTTGATCAGTCACACATGATTACACACCTCTTCTTCTTTTTGCTAAATTCAACCTTTCGTCTTTCCCGCCTCTCTCGCTTAAAACTTTATTCTTTTCCCCTTCAACCTTTCGTTGTTATTATCTCGCTCCCACTCTTTCTCTGTCCACCTATAATATCACGTCATCCCAACCTTACAATTTCCTCTGTAGGGCATGTTGCTACTGTCCAAAGAAGAAGAAGGTATGTTATATATAAGAAACCCCGCATTCTATAACATTATTCACCTCTGCTTTCTCTATCACAGTGCTCCATTCAAGATAAACCATCTTAAAAGACATACTTATGTTTTTGGAATATATACCAATGCAGCAGTGATTCATTATAACTTTTATGTTTTTTTCTAATGCAGCATGCAACAGTAGTGTTATGTTGTACAATGTGGCTCTTTACAGAATGAAAATAGAACACAATTCCCGTAGCATATATATACTGTAGCCAAGTACACTAGTATACAATGTTGGAAGAGGTTACGGAGTAAAGATCTCAAGAAGAGGGAGAGAGCGAGGCGACTGCGTCCTCCAGACTGCCTGTGACCACCATGAAATGGTTGTGGACGTCCTCTGCCTTGTGTGTGTTGAGGTGGGTGTGTCCTGTCACCTCTAGCTCTCTTCCAAATGGAGTCCTGCATGAGGGAAATTAAGTATAATAGAAGGACAGAGAAAGAGGCAGTGAGCAATCATCCACTAGCAAACAATTAGAGTGTGTATATCAATTTCCCGACACATCTTTGATAGCAACCGGAAAACCAGATTGCCAGCTTTTTTAACGTACTTGTAAGTCCACTCTTCGTGTACTGCCAGGTTGTGGTTTGTCTTGCAGTGGTTGAGGAACACTCTGGGTATTGGCCTTTGTAATGTATGTATATACACAGCAGTGGAAAGAAAGGGTGCATACGTACGTACACCATGGGTATAATGTAAACCACGTTCAAGCCTACTCACGGGTACAGGAGTTCCTTCTGTTTCAAGCCTTTCATCTTGACTGAAACATATAAACTTCCTGGAAGGTGAAAAGTGAGAAATGAGGGTTGTTTGTTAATTATGTTCATAGGCTAATGGGTGGTCTATATTGTGTACCAAGCAGAGTTGTAGCTGATGTCTTCCTCGAGTAGAACCTCCTGCTCTCGAGAGAACCGCGAGTGTTTGGTGAATGTGGCTCTATCACTGTGCAGACCAAGCTAAAGCAAGAGGGAGAGGACCGAGATAGTAACACGATAGATGAAACGCATGACTTTACCTGTCCACCTTCGTCGGGAAGTGTCACAAGAGCCACTGGTTGGCCGTAGCACACTACTTCACCCTCTTTTGCCTCTGATTCACCATAACTGTGATGAAACATGTATATCAGTGAGTCCGATATTATAATTACGGAGAGAGAAACAGGTGTTGGTTTTTTCCTCTTAACTTTTATCTCAACTACTCTCTGCAAATATAATTATTAGCTATGTACAAGACACCTCTGTACCTCGTAATGACGAAGACATTTCGTGGGCATGGAGTGAGCTGCCGAGAGCAAGTCACCCACATCCGCTCTCCAGTCTAGTGGCGTCAAAGGCCCTGGCCGATGTGACATGGGCGGACACCACCGTCTTAGTCGGCGTGTGCAGCAGACAGACTCTGTCACCGATATGGAGGTAACCGTCACTGGGTTTAGACAGTTCAACCTGTGGAGGAGGATGTGAAGAATAAAGACACTTCGTTCTGTATAAGAAATTGTAGGTTGAGGAGAACTGACTGACATTTCTGAGGATAGTCTTGAGGAAATTTGTCTTTTTCTGCACCGTCAGCTCTCCCCTGTCTTTCTTCTCCAGAAAGTCCTTCAGTTGCTCCTATGAACGCAAGATTAGTCTATTAGCGCCATAGCAAGATTTGCGGACTTCCCGACCTCTTCTAGGCACAGATCTTCATTCCAGTTCCCAACGCGGACGCTAGGATTGTAGGTGCGTACACTCATCCTCTTTAGCTCAGAGAAGGCGGCCGTTGTTTACTGGTTGTCATGTGATGGACGTAGTGCGCATTGCAAAATTTCAGATGTGTCGAATAATTAGAACACTGCGCATGCGCCCGTCGATCGGATTTCGCACCGCAGCGCTGCTGCAGTCCTTTTGAGTTTCCTCTGTCTTCCCAAACGGTGCATACCTCAGTTAAAACCCCATGTCAGTGATTACACCTTATCCGCTTTCGAAACCAGGAAACGACACAAGGAAAACCAGCTATCCTCACACAACCATGTGCATGTCCGCACACACCTGTAGCAACTCAGTCTTCAACTGTTCGTGAGAATGCGCCGGTACTGTCTTGCTTGGCACCCGAGTTGTGCTCAGACGAAGCAACTCCATGCAATCACAACATTCTAATAATCATACAGCTCACAATTTTAGTCAACTAGGTGCATTACCTTTTGCCATAGTCCGACCTGTTTGTCCGAACCACAGCACGTGAATTTCGGTCTCATTAGCAATCACGATGAGTTAATCTCATTGACTGTACTTCTGCAATCGAAACCTGGCTGTGATGTCTGTGGTAAAATTTGGGGCAATGTGACAAATAGCCTACAAACATTGTTGATCATGACATTAATCTCTATTACATCCAAAATTACCATGTGCCTCTGCACTAGAAAAAGATTCACAGCAAATGTTGCAAATTATTACAGGGAAGGTATGTACTAGCACACAACACATTCTGTGCCAAAATCACATAAATCAAAATAAAATAGCTAACTGTAGCTACTACAAGTGGACTAAGTTTAAATTTACTCTTCGTGAGAGTCTCGATTGAACTGCAAAACAAATGAACTATTTTTGCAGGGGCTGCCCCATTACAAGTCTCCCAATTCCGCGAGAGTGGTTTCGAGCTCTTTCTTGGCTTTCTCGTAGTTGTCCTCTGCCTGCTCCAAGTCGGCTGTGGAATAAAGAGGGAGAGGGACAGAAAAGGGAGGAGGGGGAGTATAAGATGGGAATTCAGCTAAGTAACCCCCCTATATATATATATATATAGTCTAGGTTTAGAGGGAGTAAGAATGCAGTTTCGTAAACTGTTCTCCATCCTCCTTCGCACCTTCCAACTGGTCGACCTGACGCTCCAACGTCCGCATTCTCTGTTGTGCCTCTTCGCTCTGCGCCTCGAGGTCTTTGACTTTTTGCGTTAAGTTCGTCGATCCTCTCTCAGGGGAGGAATTTCGCTTGTTCACCTGAGCCACATTTCCCGTCCTTCCCTATTCATTTCCTTTCGCCGCCCAGCTCCAGCCGAGATCAAAACAACCACAGACCCAACAGAACAGTGGAGCCCCTCGCAACACAACCCGGACAAGCCAGATGTCAGAACAAGTTAGTGAGGTGTCCCTGCTATCTTCGGCGGGCTCAATTGCTGTCAAGGAAGCGTTCTTTGAGTCGAGTGAGGTGTCTTAATTTCCAGCAGTGTTCTCGGAGAGGGTTTTCCAGCTATTTCTAATGCGACTATATAGAGCGACGTGTGTGGCAGATTCGAGTGGAGCTCACTATAAGAAAGACATGAGTGGGAAGTGTGGGTCCTGCTAATGTGCTGTCCTGATATATAGCAACAAATTATGTGGAGATTGTCCTGTTAAATGTGGGGTGTCCAAATAGCTGAGACAACAAAATATATCGGCTGCTGAATCAATAGACAGTTTCAATAAGGCAAAGCAGGCCATACTAAGTATGTGTATATACCCCCATTAGCGAGCTCCATGCACTGATTACTTATAGAGACAACTGGTGATGAATGACCTTCAATCCGTTCTATTTCCTTTCGTAGGCCTTTGTTCTCTCGTTCCAGCTCCTCTACTCTCGTCTCTGCATCCTTCAGCTTTGCCGTACTGTCGGTTGCCCTTTCCTCGGCCAGGTCCAAATCGCTCTCCAGTAACTTCATCTTGTTCGCGTGGCTGGCCAGGTCCTGCTCTACCTGATAGGGATGCAAAAGAAACACAGTATATACTTGATTATAGCCTATCCCCCGTGCAAAAGAGCATTTGAAGTCTGTGGTAGAGACTTGGAGAATTTCACGTCATTCTCCTTTCATTAAACCAGATAGTATTTCCCAAACAAACACCTTTAAGTCCTTCACAGGGTACACGTACATATGTGGATATGCATACAGCTAAATGTCATAGTGCGTCACACTGCCAGAATGGCAAATAGTGCATATTCCCAAATTTGAGCCCTCTCTGGGGATAATATCACTTTAAAAAAGCAGGACATGGAATAAATATGGGTAGAGACAGACAGACAGAGAGAGACGAGAGAGAGTAGACAAGGAAAAACAAGACAAGCCTCCTTTCCTGGTGGGAATTCAGCAAAGCATAGAGACGTGGAGGAGAGGCGAGTTGTCAAATTGTATGGTAACACCCACTTCTAACCAACACACAAAGACCACGAGTGCCACAACAAGAGCTCCCCGCTACATACCACCGCTTCCCACTAAAAAACGACAACTTAGCGACAATTACTGTCGCATATTTTGGCCTCCGACTCTTTCCGAAGCTGTTCCGCTTCCTCTGCTCGCTCAATGGCCGCCTCTTTCTCGTCCTTCAGAGCTGCCAGCTTCTTCTTGATTGTTTCCATGACTGACTGACTGACACGAGTTAGTAGCACACACAGACACAAGTTGATCTCTGCAACAAGGCAGTATATCCACAAGTCCACTATAAGGTGTACATATTCAACCGTTTCCTACGTCTACGTGTATAAACTGGGAATATAAGTATGTACCTAAACACACTGCACTCTACGAAGAAGGAGATGGTTAAAATGACAGTTGCTTTAGAGATATGGTCTACTACGTGCACATGACATTTCATTATAAAAGCTAGTGTTTAAAATGCGTGGCATAACTACACTTTGTACCTAGCGACCTGGTTAGCAAACACACACACAAACTAATATGAAGTACCGTAGCAAAAAGGTGGTGTCAACCAAATGCTACACGCGCACACATAGCCCTTTCAACGTCACGAAATACACCACTACAAACAAACCACAACACAAACACGCAACCATACCACCTCCCCCTAGCTGAACCAGTATCATTAATATTATAACACAACACACACACACACACACGAATGGGTGTACGAAGGCGATGTAGTAGTGGTAGGGGAAGAAACAGGAGGTGGAGGGATAACTTGGCTCACAGGCCTTCTCCTACCACACTTTTGTGGTTTAACTTCAGTTGATGCTAATCTGGACGTATTACAGCCGGAATGTGGGCTGTTTCCTTATATCAAAACACCGAACCAGAGGCCTACATATAGTCACCGAATGCGATAGTCAAGCGAGGATATAATATTGCTATTAAAAAGCTTGCGATGAGCTTCACAAGCCAGTCGAAGTACAAGTAGCCCATTTTACATCGGCCACCATTGAAAAAACAGGACCGTATATAGCTAGCTTGCGAGAGGAAATCCCCACCGATTTTAAAACCGCTAAAATCCTCCGACGGCCTACCCTAACGCAAATTCACCAGCAGATCTGTTTACACTACTCAAAGAAAATGACTCACGCACCACACTTGCTAACTGTTCCACTTGTCCAATCCACGCCTAATCACCTAACAACACACACCGACTTAACATTTAGTTCCGGCCACGAGCACAACGAGACCCTCATGTACTGATCTAAGGACCGGCACGGGACGTGGGAAACGGAACATACGGCCTATGTCTGACTCTCATAGGACACACACTCACCTCACAAGAGGAGCAATTAGTACATCCAACCAGTGCGCTACACAACTACCAATATTGTGGGAGCAAGCAACCTAGCTCGGGCTCACGAATGCCCACGTGTGAAATTTGGAAGCCCCAGCGTAGCACACGAAGGCGTGAAATCCTGCTTGGTCCTAAGTTCCCACCGACTAGCTACCTGAAGGTGGCCGAGGCCAAGCGCGAATGGCGACCACCCGCCGCGCCCTGACTCCCACAGTCGGAGTGCGCGGTGGCGCGGGGACCTCCTACATCGCACCTCACTGGCGCGCCGTGCGCTACACCTCACTCACCAACTTCTTCACTCCTAGCTCTCCCCACGTAAACTTTCACACACCCACACACCACCGAGATACAGGAAAGCCAACTGTACATTAAGACAGTTTGGAGCTATTCCCACAACCGTTCGCGTCCTTGATGTCTAAATTTAACGTGTCAGATACTCTACATCTCGCTGCGGTGCACAACCACGTGGCGTACTTTCGTTTAGTGCGTTCAACTCTTCAACGGCCACAGCTAACTCCGGCCTTCACAGCCAGCAAAACTTACTGGCCATACAGCCGGAGTGTTCCACCTAGATTACCCTTACCTCAAACTCGACCCTAACGTCGGCCTCTTGAGCACTGTCGATCAAAGCAAACACGACAATGACGCTGCCCCTCTCTGCCGTCTCCAGAGACATAGCCACCGGATAGTATATCTCTAATGTACTGTCTACGCGCTTTGATGCATCTGTCGTCATGCGCATATACTGTTGCCACTTGACGCTGTCTATACGTCGTACGTATAATCCCACACAGCACGTCACTACACTGTGCACTGATGCTGCGCGTACTCTAACAGAGACTCTAAAACACCATTGACCGTGTGAATATAGTTTTTAACAAATCATTGAGTGTAGCAAAACTCACACACGTTTCACAGACTAATCTTTCTCACTCGGAAGGTTTGGCGACGCTACAGGCGCTCAGCGCAGACAGTAGTCGATTCTACCGCTGCCTTCTTGGCCCCCTCACACACCTCTGTTCACAGCGGCATCTACGTCCTCTGAAGGGGAGTATAAAAGGCATCATGACGAGGAGCCTAAGGTTCACAGATATATACACACGAGCACACACCTTCCAGCTGGTCTTTCTCGCGTTCGAGTTGGGTGACCCTGCGTTTGTACTCTTCCAGCTGTGTTTCCTGCTCGGAGGACTTGCTCTTTAGGTCCCGTCATGTAGTCGCCGAGATCGTCATCTTGTTTCTTCCGTTCTATTGGCACTGCAGCCCCAAAGTGATAGAGACCCTCAATGTATAAGTAACAGGCTGTTAGTATTTCAGTATTTCCCAGGCCAGAGCAGCAGCACACATTAATACTTAGCGCATTTCACTATATACTTTCTAACCTTCTAAATTTCTCCGTACATGGTAATGGATACAGAATTCATTCATCTCTCTTCAAGCATTATCGTCATAGTGCATGTAGCATTGTGTGTGATTTGTTCCAGTAGCAAAATCAGGCAAAACAAACGGTAACACCGCACATAGACCATGGTAGACACGGTCCTACAAGTGCCGTGAATCATCACCATCTTACGGCAGGCAGAGAAAGCAGCAGCAACGAAACACAGAATGTTTTGTTTTGTCGAGTCCTCTCCTCACACTAACACACGTCATTGAACATCACATACTACATTCGCTAATGACCATCCCTGTCATAGCTCTGAGACAAAACTACTACGTACTCTCATGTTAGGCTCATAGGAATGCGCGGAGCGCGTGTCGGAGTCGCGTGGGCGGTGGGCCACGATGACTAGTGCTGGGTTCTGATGAATGAAGCCAGATTAATCCATGTTCTAGATAGAGCAGTACACCTGGTGGATCTACTGGTTGGCTGAACTACGACACCAGTGACTATGGTGCACTATGTGCTAGTTGTTGAAGCCAGTTTCTCAGAGTTCAGGCCCCATAAGGCCCCATAGCTGTATTCGCGTATACTGAGATGTCCAAACTTATACAGGCTGGTGTAAAACTAGCCACATGCTCCTATAACAAAGTCATAATTGTGGGAACGGCGTAATATTGTGTAGATATGTGATCAATTGAGCATACAATATTCACGTGTGGCAAGATATGCTGTTTGTGTAGCTAACACGGAGCATGGACTGCTACGTACTGGACTCTACACACACACACACACCTCCTTTGCTTTCTGGTTGCCTTCAGTTGTAGGCAACAACACTTCAACAACAGTCTTACAGAGTGATACTATATACAGTACACTGACCCTTTCATCACTGACAACCCTTTCCTTCAGTGAGTTTGTGGCTTCTGTTAGCTCCTTCTCCAGAGAAGAACCGACTTCCTGTATAGAAGACGGGAAACAGAGGGTCAAGGAGAGCAAAGGTGTTCATACATAACAGTCAGTGAGAAATTGATTAAAGAGAGAGCGGATAGCGGGAGAGAGAGGGTTAAACTGACCGACTCTTGCTCATCGTTCCTGTCCTCTGCTGACTCCAAAATCTCCTCCAGTAACTTTATCCGTCCATTCAAACTGCAGTGAAAACCATTTACCGATCAATACACCCAATGAATAATGCGCCCCAACTAGTTGATGGGAATGTACCACATGACACGGTGCACCTCTCATGTTGACATGAGCACACAAATGACCTCTTCAACCAGTTCTCAAGCTCTACGGCTCTGTCTGTCTTGGCTCTGATCTCCTCTATGAGAATCTCTTTCTGCATGACGGGTATAAATAGTTGTTGGCAGTATTATTCTTATGTCCTAGAACAAGATATAGCAATGGAGTGTAACTAACTTCATCTGAATCGACATCTTTGTTTGTTGTCAGTTTCTCAGCAACTTTAGAGAGAGAGAGGGAGAGAGAGAGTAGTTGAGGGGGAGGGAAGGCGGAAGGAAGGGGGTTCCCAAGGAACACCTTTGTGTGAAAAGACGAATCACATCCTGAAAGTCCCTGTAACTGTGTACTACAGCCACGATCAGTCAAATGCACAGAGGCCAAGGAGCCTGACCACATTACCAGGCATTCCTTGCATTCTGGCAGTCCATTAAGTTCCCTTCCTTGTCCTTTTATGGCCATGTCTCAGAAAGTATAGAGCAAGCAAGCAAAACTAGCTAGGTTCAGCAAAATGAAGGCATATCAGCTGTCAAATAATGATGTCTGTGTTATAGGTATACCGATCACACATTATACCAGCAGCCACATAGAGATGCCAGACCACAACACACGAGGGTCACACACACAAATGGAGTCCAGGACCAATTTGATTTCACAGCCTAACTGGTCAGCACTAAAGGCGGGAAGGGAGACAAGATACAGCTGGATACACTTCAGAAAGGGAGACTGCGTTCGTGCAATGCAAGTCTGTTGCAGCAGATCTACACCTTTTTGCCTTTTATGGTATTCCCGTGGATTTATTAAGATTCCTCAGTAATTTACCAATTTGGAGTGTGTTGGCTGTTACCAACGTGCCAGGGATGACACTGTCAACCTCCACAGCAGTGACTAGCTGGATAGCATCGCTCATTCCTGGACACTTTTTTTCGTTGCACGCAAGTTGTGGTTGATACATAAATCACTGTAATATATGCACTTATTTGTACAGCACGACACATGCCAGACACGACTGCCAGAGGCTCATTGTATGCAGCCTCTGCCTCACACACACTCCATCATTCCACAAGTAGCGATTGCCTACGACACCCAGTCATATGTGCTACATCCAAAAGCCAGTATCATATTGAGTTATAGGCCCCGCTGGTGTGTGACAGCATCCAGCGAAAATACCCTCGTGGTTTGGCAATGATTTTACTTTGTCCTGAATCGTTCATTTTGCTGTATAAAACTATCTTTCGCTTGAACTTAGAAAAGTTGAAGACTACCAGGCCAGCATCATTATTGAGTTATGGGCCTCTGCCTGTGTGATAGCATCCAGCAAAAATACCCTCATGGATAGCAAAGTTTAAAATGTCAATGCTGGAGTTCAGCTGACCTCTCTGTCTCATCAAGAGCACTAGCTTCTCCTCGGCCTCTTGCGGTACTCGTCGGCCGAGCTTCGCTTTTCAAGTCATCCTGCAAGATGGACGAGTTCCGTGCCGTCTCCTTCTCTCCTGGAGCTGTGGGAGCACTATTATATATATACACACGATAAAAGTAATAATCCGATCCAGAGAAACAGATCAGTTAGAAAGATTGTCCATCAAGCATTATCATGATTGCAAGGGGCTCCACCTGATTATTGTGAATAAAATCGTGTTAGAGTGCTATAATACCTACACGTGCATTATTCCAATGCGTGCGGAGGTGAACTGCACAGCCCACGTATCTTGAACATCGGCTTGCCGTTGGTGGGTTTCCACGTATAACAGCTCATTAGCATTAGCTATCTTACGCGGTCCGCTTCCTGGCGAGCCTTTGCGGCTTCTTCCTTTGCCTCTGCCTCTCTAGTACTGGCTTCTTCCACTTCTCCTCTTAGAGCTTGCAGTTTTCTTCTTGATGCCTTCCATTTCTGCAGTAATTCGTTTTCTAGCTATACCTAGTAGGCCTGTCGATTCGGTTCGTGGTTTAGTTTGGCAAGACGTGAGAAACTGGTGAGCAAGTCTATTTATAGTCGCAGAGATCGCGACGCTTTTGCATTATGCATGCTGGTGCTGCATGCTGCTGCTGAATGCAACCGCATTTTGAAGAGCGCATGCGTGAACCCACGTGTCGTTCATGACGTCACAATATTGCTGCGCGTCATTTGAGTAGCAGCAGTTGTGCAAGTCAGGCAGCGCCGAAAATGCCTGTTTCTATAGAGAAGAACGACTCCAAGCTGAAAGCCTGGTGTCAAAAAGAACTCTCTAAGTTCTAGGCTTCCCGTGGAAGAGGAGCTAGTAGAGGTGAGAGCTGTAATATCCGGAGGACCGTAAAACATCAAAACATGTCTCGTCGACAAACAGCTACCTGATGTCTATGCAGACGGCCAAGGACGTGGGGATACCTGGAAGATCTCTTGGGAACAAATCCGACGCCTTCCAGAAGGAGTTTCTGTCTCACTGGCACCCCCCGCAGAGGGTCCCCACACTTCTGGGCCCCTGGAGGCCCAAATTCTGGAGGACCCTCGCAGGAAGACATGGTGCTGTTTCGTGGGACGGAGGTGGGGGTTCGCAGGGGGAAAAAGTGGCGGTGGCTCGAGTAAGACAGACAAGACAAAGAAAGTGAGTTGGACACCTCTTCCCAAGAGTAGTTCTTATAAGGACAGCTCAATAATTTGGACACTCATTTTGTCTTCTGGATTAGAGTAGTATATTTACACATTACTGGAGTGCTATGTGAAAATCTCTGCAGGAACATGCCATGCCCCTCCTCCTGGGTTCTCTAGAGCACAGCCACACCTCTTCTGCAGCTGCTGCTCCGCCCTGGAAATCCAGCCACGCCTCTGATTCCCACCTGAACGCCCCCTCCGGTCTCTCTTCCTCTTCCATTCACATCGCGTCAGTCTGGAGGCCAGAGCTCCGTGACGTCAACGCATCGACAAAGAACAGAAGTTTGTTCCTCTGATAAGCAGAGAGGGCCAGTCGCGAATGGCCATGCAGCTATTCTAGTATCGTGTGTTCTCTGCCACCCAAATTCCCCCAGAGTGAGTTTCATACTACTCTGGAGACACAAAGGGTCTCTATAATGGTCCTATATAAAGTGTACTACTTTCCCACGGAGTGGCATGCACCCTCTATAATGACCCTCACAATACATTAGCTCATGTATTATACCTTGTACCTGTGACATCCTGTGTGTGCCTGGTATGGACAACCTGCAGTGTTGTGGCGTACAGCCTTGCCATGGAATGTTGGCAAGACGACTAGTCATCTCCCTTTATAGTCTACAGGACCGTGTGTCCATTATACAGCAGTGTGTGTATGTATGAAATGTGGGGCATGTTGAGGCAGATTGTGGACAGTATATACAAGGGAGTTAGACGACTTGCCCAAAATGGAGTTGGTTAGTGCTCCGTCGTGGATGCGGGCTGGAGCGATGGCCGTTTGCCAGCACGTCTCTCCACATACTAGCTCCTCTTTCTCTTGTGTACACACACACACACACACACACACTGGCACACTCACACTGGCACACATTCAAAAAATCTGGAGTAAAAAAATGGCAAAATTTATATAGGGTTTTATGATAACCACGTATATGCAGGAAGGAGAGAGAGCGTTTGAGCATTTCAAGACAGTCCAGTCCTCGGTGGCCTTGAAAAGGCAGTGTATCACAAGGACAAGCTGCTCAACTTTGACCAGACTAGGTCTCCATACTGTAAAAGTTTTAACATTTTATGAAGTACCCATCAAAATAAGAGCAAAATGTGAAAATTTATTACCAGAGTCTTCTTTGTGCCTCAAGGCTACTAAAAA